CAAATACTAGAACAATACAGGCGTTTCAGTCTATTTGTCTACGTTTAATATCTGGTGCCCCATGGTATATTACCAATGAATCACTCCATAAAGACATCTGCATTCCAACCTTAAACAGCCTTGCCAAAATCACCTATAAAAAAACACACAAAACATTCATTACTCACTCTAATCCTATAATCACCCAACTTTCATCAAATCAAATTCCAGGTAATCCACCCAGGCGCCTGAAAAGGAACTGGTGTAGGGACCTACTTTCTCCCTAAATCGCTTCCACGGGGTGCCGCCACTGGGTGACTTCCCCCTCCTGTTTACCAAAAATCATCCCATTTACTTATTGTATCACTTGTAAATACAGATTGTAAATATATTATGTTTGTTCAATAAAGTACCTATTTCAAATTCAAAAAAAATTTTCAATCCTTGGCTATAAAAACTGAACAGTTTATCATCTTATAACATCTTATATTCATTATTTTAATATAAACTAATGAGTAATCTTGTATTACATTTTCAAATCTTAGATTTAAAAAGAAAAATTTTTACGAATTCTTAACTCAAAATAATTTGCTATTTTTTTCGTGATTTTTCCATATTTTGTCAAATTTTGAACTTTAAATGCTTATTAAAAAAAACTGTGACTAAGGATTTTTAATGTTTTTCATCTGCCTTTGAAACAATATAATAGAAGCCTTCTATTAAATTTTCAAGCTTTTTCAACCAACAAATAAAATTTTATTGATATTTTTAGAAAAAATACTAAAAAAAATGGAAAATGAAAATGTCCGTAAAGAGCTCAAAATAAGTCAAAATATTTGGAAAATGTTATGGTGTATAGAAAAGGTTAATATAAACATTCAGTCAAAATTTCATGTACCTACGGTCATTTGTTTAAGAGTTGCATTAAAAACCAAAATCGAATTTCTCGAAAACAGATTTTCCGTAAAAATTCCCGTTTTTCCTTAATTTTTATGTTGTTTTTCCCGGTGCTTGTGAAAACTATTGGGAAATTTAAATTTTGACCTTCCCAATGCACCAACGATATTCACTTTCGAATCGAAAAAGATACTGAAGTTAAAAATCGAAGCATTATTTCGACTACTTATCGTGTACACAGACACAAAAAATAAAAAAATAAAAAAATATAAAAACACACATCATTGTAAAATCAATACATTCATCGTTCCACTCAGAATCTAAAACTTATGCTATTAAATGGCATCAAATGTTCCAATGTTGTCTTATGTATGTATAGCGCCACTATTCGTACCTATAGAATAAATTGTAGTAAAACCATTACACGCGTTTAAGTCCTAACTATGTGGCTGTGAGTACGCATATTTATTTATTATAACTGATTGTAACTGTAGGAATTGTTTACTTCGTATACTCCTATGGAACATTTACAAATATTGTAAATGTACTGTTGTCTGTTGTTACATTTTATAATTTAATTTTTAGGCACTATAGCATCGTTGGAAATCGGGAGGGGGCTAATCCCATTTTTAAATCTCCTCCCAAAATTAAAAACCGATAACTTTGTTAATGTATGTAATCGAAATTTTTTCACAGCAGAATTACAATTATAATAAAATAGTATACTTAATTCTTAATTTAAAATATGTTGTCATAATAATAAGTATAGGTAATCAATGTGATAAATAATATATTGATTATTTAATATATAAGGTGACAATGTGAAAAGAAGTTTAGATTTTGTTTATTTGTTATTTAATATATAATATTTATATATGTCTGGGGGGGGGTCCCTAGGCCTCCCTGGATCCGTTCCCGCCCAGCTCACATAAATCACGTGCGCACGAATTTATGTGCTGCTGCTTCTGCAACATTTTTTTGGGCCGATTGATTGGCTCGCGGACAGCGGCGGTGAATGGTTTAGCCGCTTGAGTTACGATTAGTTGGTCGACTGGACAAGAAAATTCATAATTCAATATAAATAAATAAAATGGATCTGAATGAATTTTAGATTCTGAGCGTAGCGATAAATGCATTGTTTTTACAATGATGTACTTATATGTATTAATTTTTTATCAGTCTGTCATCAACAATTGGGGCAGAAAACATGTTCCGATTTTTGACATCAGCATCTTTTCTCTTAGAAAAGTGAATCTAATTTCTAAATGGTGTATTCGAGAGATAAAAGTGGATAACAATTCCCAGCAGTTTTTGTAAAGTCGGAAAAAAAACCGAAATTTGAAAATTTAACGTATGGTTTCACATAAGTTTTTTGATAGCAGTTTAAAAAATATTAAAGATTCATATGCATGATTATTTTTTTAAATTTATTTTCATTAGAAATTCATAGAAATTTTAATAGCAGATTCCAAACAAGTTTTTCTAAATTAATTTGGCCATAGGTGAAAAAATAGGCAGCTTTATTCTGTTTGCTGCATCTGTGATTAAACTATTAAAGTCTAAGTTAAGAAATATTCATTAATATAAAAAAATTTTGAATTTCTTAATTTACACTAAAAGCCTGTACATTGTATTAATATATGCACTAAAATATTCAAAATAAAAATTTCCCTTTTAAAGTATCTGTTAACATGAAATAAATTATGTACATGAAATGTATTGTTCTAGAACACCCAAAAATATACTAGGTATAATGTACTAATTTATTATACATATTTGGGATCCAAACTTTGGATCGAAACAAAAGACATTTATCAATAAATACAAGTAATTATTATTTATTAAAATAAGTAGTTTTAAACATAAAATAGGTACAACAATTTGTTATAAATATGGCACATAGATTTAAAATGTTGTCATTTACAGAGTTTTACATTTATTTGATCTTATTAGAAGTAATATAAAATGAGTCGAAAGTCTTAATACATTTATTTTTCAAATGTAAGTCTCATAAAAGTTACATACAATTATAAAATTAAAAATAAATAATAATAATAAAAAAAACATTGGAAAAATAAAATCACAAATAGTAGGACTAGTTGCGTAGACGATTAATCCAGATAATATTATTTACCCGAACGTATTTTTCCTAGGTTTATATAAAAAAATTCACTATCGATCTCCACTGTCTAATAAAACATTATTACACAACCAATTTATAGTATACACATAATTGTATATTAAAGTATAAAAATATTATAATTAACTAATTAATTTCTGCAAACATTATTTAAAACAATATTGAAAATTAAATATAAAATATATTTTATAATTGTAAAAATTGTCTTAACAATAAATTATATAATTAATTAATAAACCACTGTAAGGAATGCAAAAATGGGCAAGAACACTAATAATTGGAATGAGACTAAATAGGCAAGATTGCAGTGTACTTTATGTATACTTGGACAGTTGGACCCACCCAAAAAAATTATTTTATTTTAGAATCAAAGAATGGTGGTTGGGGATAAATTTTCTAATACCAGATCTAAAAAATTCCATTCTTAGTCAGTAAATGGGTTAAACAATATTTTGTACTTGGTTAAAGAAAACATATTTAAATACCATATTTATTGGAAACACTTAAGGTTTAATATGATTATTACTATAAGATCTCAGTACAGACTAAATTAATGATAATAAAAATGTAGAACTAAAAAGATATTTGAGCAAAAAAATAAACTAAGTCTTAGTTTTTGTTCTTGTTATTTAGTAGGTAAAAAAAGTTCATTGCTTGAAAAGTCTATTTGAATAAAGTCTTTACATAGAATTTAACTTAATCATCATAAGTATACTATTAATTAATTATGATCTGTTGGCACAAAATAAATTTTTAAATGTTTTAATCTGCTTTTACTATAATACAAATTAATATCAAGAACACAATATAATTTTCAAAAGTTAGGTTGTTAATAAATATAAATTAAATATTTTACTCTAAAAACATTTAGAAATAATAATAATACAACTTCAAAAAATATTGTAATAATGTATCATAAAATATATAATTTAGTTATTTTAATCAGTTTTTGAGATAATAATTATAAATGCATATTACATTATTACAGCATTTTATATTATACCTAATCACATATATATAAATAACTAATCTTCCACATTAAAAGATGATATCAAATTATATATTTTAATTTCAGTTTATTAAAATATTTTGAATTTTGAATTTAAAAAAATTGTATACAATATTAAGGTTTGCATTTTAACGTTTTACCTAGATCAATATTATAATTCATACTTAGAACCTACCTATATTTAAGCAACTCTCAGTAAGACAACTTTTCAATCAGTAAATGAAATTATATGAGATTATTTGTTATTATTGGTAACGTTAGTTAATTGTTCAGATTTCAAATTGACAAGAGCTGCACATTACTATGACTAAATCACAAATTGACTGGTCCATTTATAAATTAAACATTATTTGAATGTTTAAAACCAGATTGAGTTTAAAAAAAAAACAAGTTTAAACTTGCATATAACAAGGAAAACATCTGTACCTAATATAAAAAACAAAAAAACTTAAATCTAAATAACTACTAAACAAACTAAAAAAACTAGAATTCTACATTGTCAGATTTCAGCAAAATCTGTCTAAAACAAAATCTAATTCGCACGTGGTATACAATACAAATAAATGTATGGGATAATTTTAATAATAAAAAAAAACAATTTTCAGTACCTCATATTAAATTCATCAACTGTCATTATCAAATTTAATTCTGTATCCCGCTACATTATGGATTTACTAATATAGACAAATTTTACCATACATAGGTTATACTTATTAATAAGTTACAACTCTAATGGAAAATATTGTTGTACTGTTATTTTTTTTCATACAGAAATAGGAACTAGTATTAATGATAATGAATAGCTATACAAAAAAAAAAAATCATAATCTACAATTAGCTGCTTATGAGTAGCGGGGGAAACCAAGCAATTAATATTGATATTCCTTAGTTATTTGTTTTATATAAATTAATCAAACTATAATACTAGTAAAAAAAAATCCTTTAATGAGTAAATCGTTAGTATGTTATTTACTTTTATGTTTCATCATGGCTATTTTCTGGTGTCAATATTTGATTTGTCAAATTAGTGCTCTGTAAAAGACCTTTGCTTTCTTCACTGCCAGTCACTGATGCACTACTACTAGCACTGTACACAGAGTCGTATACTGGGTTTCCAAAATGTCCACTAGGCTGTAAGACAATAATTTCAATGTATTAATATTACTACGCATCAGCGACTATCTTATAATTAGGGCTTAGAAGTTGTATATTATTCTATATATTGATGGTGGAAAGGAAAAACGTCGTAAGCGACATTTTATAAATTTTACAGGAGAGCCAAACAACAGTTTTTTTCTGCTTTTTTTAAATTTTAATAATTTCATTGAATTTTTACCTAAACAAATTTTTTAGATAGTTATAATTCTAAATAAGTTGGAAACGTAAGAATTGTTATTTTTTTTATCTGTAATGTTAATTTATATACTTTTTTGGTGCTTTGGTGCTTACTCCTAACATTATTGGGAGTATGTAACTTATGCTTTTTGGTACTTATGCCTTATTCTTGTTATTAACCTGAATTTTGGTGGTTACAACCAGCATAATAATAATAATATTATTATAATTTTATTCTACTGTTTTATTTTATTTCTACAACAACAGTGCAATATGCATTTAATCTCTATCGCCCTAATATTCCGATGTACTATCTTTTCGAATATATTTTTTTAACTATTTTTTTTAGTTCAATAAATTGTCAAAATAGCAACAATTTCTCTCCATATTTTAAGTATTACAAATTTATTTCCCATATTTCCATTACTTTTAGCATAAATTAATAACAACATAAAAGGGTGTTTGGAATTTTGATTATTTTGAATTTTGATGAATATTAATTAAATTATTCTCCATATTTGACATTTTTTCATGATTATTTTAAGCATATTTTTCCTTTTTTATGACCTATAACTACCGGCCCTACTTATAATATATTACTTTTTCTTGTAATGGAAAAGAACGATCCAGATGTATATCTTCATCATCTATATCATCTTGTATGTACATTGGGTTATTGACTTCTGAATTTTCTTGCATTCTTACATGTGAAAATGAACGACCTCTACAAAAAAAAAAATTATCAACAATTGGTATTTATACATATATAAATAACAACAGATTTACAACAGAACTTACCTTCTTCTAAGCTTGGTGAAATAATATGTAGTAGCAGTAATGACAATTGACAGTACAATAATTAAGAATATTACCCACAAAGCATTTATACTGTGTTTATTTTGATGTTCTGAAGACATATATTCATCTATTAATTGGGTTTGGCATCTGTCGCCAACATAACCTTTTTGACAACTAAACAAAAACATTTTAGTTTAAAAGAAAATTAATAGTGACATTTCAAACATAAACTTTAAATTATAATTACTGGCATGATAAGCTCCCGATAGATTCTTCAGGCTCTATACATGTGCCACCATTTATACAATAATTTGCACAAGTGAACCGATCAGTGCACCGTGATCCAGTCCATCCTGAACTACACTTACAATTAGGTTCATTTACACCAGAATTTGATTCCATGTAACATGTACCATTATTATAGCAATAACCCAAACAAGATCCAGAATCCACAATTATATTGCTGCAGTCAAATGAACCCCAAAGGCCAACACACCTAAAATATTAAGTTTTAAATTGAAAAAAAATATAGCCTGTTCAAAATAATACCCTGTTCTTAATTTGAACAGATATATTATATGTATTATCAAAAAGTAACAATCAAAAAATGATTTCAATTTGTATAAAATAAAATAAATTTTTTTAAATTACCTGCAGGCGGGTAGTCCATCAACAATGATACAAGTACCACCATTTTTGCACATTTCTGGATGACACAAATTTGTGGTAGAATTAATTTGATCACATAAAGGATATTTCCGATTAGGAGGGCAATGTATGTGACACTCGTGATCATTTTTATCACATGTACAATTACAAATATCAATACGACAAGATGGACCTTTGAATTGTGGTAAACATAAACAAGCAGTTATATTGTCTTTGATATAACAAGATCCTAAAAGTATAAAATATAAAAAAAAATGTGTTTAGAATACAAAAAGCTAGTAATTAAGGAATTGTGGGTGTCTTAATGCACTTAATGCAATAATCTTATTATCTCGAAACATTTTTTCATAAAATTAACAATATAATTTATTTTTATTATCATATTGTAGCACATTTGGTAGTATATAATTTCTTATAAAATATTGATACTTTTTAATTAATGAACTGAAAATAGGCCTATAATTTGAAATTGTCCTATATTCACAATTGTGTAACAATAAAATAAGCAAAATAATGTTGGGGAGAGAAACATAAATGTACCAATTTTGTTCAAATGATACATATTCCTATTGTATACTATCCAATATTTATAATTAAGAGTTCTAAACAGCAACTAAATTATAAAGTGTTATACTTCCTAACTCCTTACCGCCATTTAAACAATTATTGTTGTCACAATTATCAAATTCACAATGTGGGCCAGTATATCCTTCATGGCATTTACATATAGGACCATTGGAATCTAAAAAGCAAGTTCCCTAAACAAAAAAATTATATTATAGAAAAGGAATTTTTACTTAATAGTAATATGTAACACCTTAATACAGTAGTTATCACAATCTGATTTAGTGCATGAGGGGCCCCTATATCCAGCAGGGCACTTACATTCAACATGGCCAGAATCAGTTTTAACACATACTCCTCCATTTTTACAATCAACGTTCACACATTTTTCACAAAAATCACCTTTAACATTTTCAAATATTATAAAATGACAAAATAAATTACTGATGAGATTAATTTTAGTTAAGAATATATAAGCAAAACCAAGCTTAATAAATATATTTTAATTAAAAACCTGTAAAGCCTGCAATACAGTCACAAATATTGTCGATGCAAATTCCACCATTCAAGCAAACCCCTCCTTTTGGACAACCTTTTGGAGGTACAGGAATATCACACCTATCACCGGTCCAATCAATAGAACATAGACACTAATAAAAAAATTACATATTTACATTATTTAGTATTATTATATTTTCAAAAAAAAAAAAAAAAAACAACCGTAAGTACCTTGAGTTTGGATTCTTCGAGTATGTCTTCATGGAATACATAACAGGAAGCTTTATTGTGACAGTATTTATGGCATTCATACTCATTACATGTCTCTCCGCCAAAAAATGGATTACATTTACAATAACCCAATTCTGATGTCACATTTAATACACATTCTCCCATATCACATGATGGATCACAAATTAAAGGAGGAGTTTGCTTATCTACACATTTAATGTCGTCCTAAAAATAAAAACATACATTTTTTATAGATTTATGTTGATAAATAATGATTTACTTCTTACCGTCAATGTAGGAACTTCTACTTGGTCATCTGCACACATACAAGTTCTGTTTTTGGGATTCATACTTAAAGTACACAATGCAGTATGATGACATGGATTTATAACACAATAGTTATTCACTAAAATATTTAAAATATGTTAGGTATATACATAAAACTAAGTAAATAAATACTTACAGTCTTTTGGATGCTTATTCTCTTGCATAATAACTAAATCCGTAGCCCTAAAGATATTTTTGGATAAGGTAGTTATATTCTTATTTTCAAACTTGTCAATTTTCACAATCGTTGTCATAAGTGATACATAAATTGAATCCTCAAATAACTCAATATTAGTTGGATGTTTACCTATAAAAAAAAAAACGTAAAAACCAGTTGATTGCAGGTTCTATATGCATATCCTAAAGATCAATGTAAAGTACAAGCGACAAGCGTGGGAAAACGTGATGTATTCAATTTTCTCTTTGTACTTATTTGATAATACTAAATAGTAAATACTATTCAACAGAGCAATATTTTGTTAATAAAATTTTGGAATTTAGAACATTTTTAATACTTTTTGAAGCAAATTGTCCATTTACATTATTATTACTAATCTATACTATTACAAAAATATTATAAAATCTATTGTTTTTTTTTTTTTTTTTTTAATAATACTTTACTTGGATTAATTCCTTAGTTAATTGTCTACTTAAAACACTAAAATAATATAAATAATAACTATTTTCAAGCAGTACCTTTGGGAAATTTATGAATAACTTTACGTCCTTTTCCATCTAATAGAACAGATTCTATAGTATAAGGTTTGGTGTCTGACCAATACAAACGACGAGCAGCATAATCAATTGTGATACCTGCAGGACTACGAACAGACTCACTAATAAATATTCGTTTGTTGTAACCGTCCATTGAACATGTTTCAATGCGTGGTTTACGACCCAAATCTGTCCAAAACATTGTCCTAAATAATAAAAACAGATATATAAATATAAACATATTATCCTACATGATAATAAAAATGTAATAAAAAAAATAGGGATGGGTTTCAAACTTTTAGAACCATTAAACACATTAAACTTTAAGAAATTTGAGTTAAAATTTGAACAAATCAAACAGCTCAAACAGTTTGAATAGTTTGAGTTTAATCAAGTTCAAAATGTTGGAGAATACCTACAGAAGATATATTTAATTTGGTTTTTTGTAAGTATAAAAACTATATTACTAATATTATAATTTAAAATTGGTTGTGGTTCAATTTTCAAAAAGTATGACAAAGTTCAAAAATTGTAGAGGGTTAATAAATAATCAAGTTTAAAAAAATAATTAACTTTGAGTTTGTGAAAACTTAAGTTTGACCTGTGCATAAAAAAAAAAATTACATAACATTAAATATTTATCATACCCAGACTGAGGATCTAATACGATATTTTGTGGTTTACGATCTGTTTCAAGTTTTACCAAAGTTCTAATATTTTTTCCATCCAGTGTAGCTACTTTAATAACTTTGGTTCTGTCAGAAGTTTCAATCCAATACAAATTTTTTGCAACCCAATCAACAGCAATACTTTCAGGGGTGCCTATAGTTTGAATCTAAATAAAAGAAAATACATAACTATATATGTATACAATTTAGATTTTAGGAAATAAAATTATTGAACCAGCTACTTACAATTTTTTTAGCAGTATTTACATCACGGGTAGTTCGATTTGATTTATCAATAGCTGTAGAATATAAGGCTTTAGAGTTATGATCACTCCAAAACAGATATGTTGCATTTATTGTCCACAATATATCAATTGAATGTATTTTATGAGAAGGTATTGTAACAGCAGAATATTTAAATAAGTTTTCATGGGATTTGTATGGATCAACAAAGAAAATATCTCCTTCATTGTTAGCCACAACTAATAATGCTGGAGTACCTATAAATAATGTATTAACTTAAAGTAGTAAATACATCTCATAAACATTTTAGCATTATACAGAACAAAATATTGATCTTACCAATAGCCTGACATGATTTACTAGGAAGATTTACGCTATAACCAGAGGCACAATGGCAAGAATGAGTGGAGTTTTTTTTAGGTACGCAAATCTGAGAACATGTTCCAAATTGACATGATGTTTTAGTCACATTACATAGTTGTTCATCTGAATTATCGGGACAGTCAAAAAACCCATTGCATCGAAGATGTCGGTTTATGCATAGTCCATTTGCACATCTAAATTTACTTGAATCGCATATTTCACTAGCACTGGCACCTAAACCAGAATAATAAAAAAATAAAAATGTATTTATAGGTTTTTAAAGAAAACGATTTTGACCATGCTGCTAAGTATAAAAACATGTACAGTTAAAAAATTTAAATCTATAAAATATAATATAATGCAAAGTTGAATTAAAGAGATTTAAAAGATGCCTATGACTTGAAGAGTTAATTGAATTAAATTGCAAAATTTAAATAATATTATTATTGTTTATAAATTATATTTAACATTTAAAATTTTTTTTATAAAATATAAACATTTATACTGTTACCACAAACCTGTCATCTAAGAATAACTACTCACATGCTATTTTAGTTTCATCAGAGCCATCACCACAATGATCCAAACCATCACAGACATTTGTATTAAATACGCAATTATGATTGTCACATCGATATTTTCCAGGTGGACAAGCCACTAATGCACACATAGTACGGTTTTCATCACTGCCATCGGCACAATCTTCTTCGCCATCACATCTATTTCCAAGTGATATACAATCACCATTTTTACATACAAATTGGCCATTACGACTAATTGAACATCCTTTTCCAAGTTTATCTGTACAATTCCACTCATCAGAACCATCAGGACAGTCTTGATCTCCATCACACCTCCATTTTCTTTAATAAAAATTAATTTTTTTAATATAATTAAATCATTAATTTAACAATATGAATATTAATAGATTGTGTTTATAACTTACGGTGAAATACAATGATAGGACCCATTACAGTGAAAGTCATCACTACCACAAGTAACATGTGAATCACAATCATCCTCATCACCATTATCTGAACAGTTCATTTTTCCATCACATTTTTGACTAGTTGGTATACATCGACCATCAGAGCATCTTAGATAACAAATTATTAAACAATAAATTAAACTCAACATTTTAAGATAACATTTAGGAATAAGATATTTATGATAACAGTTTTTTAAACTGTACAAATTCAAAGTTATAAATCTACTGAAGTTATGATACTTATACAAGTCTTTAATGTTTATAATGTAATAAATAATGTAAAAGTAGTCAAAATTATGTGAAATGGAAATAATGTATTGTATTGGTATAAAACCGTGATAACTGATAATTATAAATGTTTTTATCAAACTAACATCTGAAACCTGATTTTTATTTAATATTTAATAATACCGAAATTCGTGTTCTGAACAATTTCTTGGTGAGCAGCTAATTTCATCAGATTTATCACCACAGTCATTTTCATTATCACATCGCCAACGACCTGGAATACACCTAGTAAAAACATTTTTATTTAATGATAAAACTAATTATTAAACAATCAATTTGATAACACTTTGTACAATTTATTTGTTATTTATGATGATAGTCAGTTGTAGTTGCTACAAATTCCACACAAGAATGTATTAAAATGTTTTAGAATACATATTTATATTAACAGTGATATACTATTGATTATGTACTATAACTATTTATTCATATATTTTAAAATAAATATGGAGTTCACAAAATATGAACTAACAGTTAACTTAAAACATTGAATACAAATGTAATAAAACAATAATATTATGTAAAATAAACAATAGAACATTTAAAAAAATTACACTAATCATTTTATTTATATTGGTACACTAAACAATTTATTTTTAGTGGGAGGGCATAAACACGAATTAGTCGATTTTCTTGGTTTTTTTTCTTAGAAAAAAAATAAAACCAAACATGGGTTTGTTTTTGATTAGTCCATCATTATTAGTTTGATTAGTAAATTATTTTCAAACAATGTATGTCCATAATTTGAATTAAGATCAGACACAAATTTTGATTTTCTATTTAGTACTACAGAGTGTTATTCTTTAAATTTTTAAAAAATGTGATTAGTTAGTTTTAAAATATTGAACCTGACCCAACTCTATTACAAAGTGATATCAAACTCTAATTTTAAATAATTTATATTACATTTTAGTAAAAGTTTACTTACTTTCCATTAGCACACTTAAAGTATGTTGGATCACATGTGATGTTATAACATGAAGGTGGTTCATCGTCCATATCAGGACAATCATTTTCACCATCACACATCCATGTTGAATGAATACATCGACCATTTTTACAACGCACTTCATCTGATGAACACGATCTTGAAGTACAATTTTCTGGTTCATCAGAATTATCACCATAACCACAATCAAATTCACCATCACACATAAACACATTTGGAATACACTTCCCTGTAATCTCGCATTTAAACTGAAAAATATTTAATTAATATTTATAAGTTACCATACTTATATTATCATTAATAGGACACTGCACCCGCACGTGTTGTCTCTGTCATGTGTTACGTTCTGAATAATCCATTAAACTCTATTATGTTTGATATCAGAGTGAATCAGTGAACAAATAAAAGTTGTCAAATAATTTTGACAAGAGGGGTGGGGGGATATGGTTGATTTCTTAAAATGCACTATTTGATTATTAAAAATATAATTTATGGTTATCAGATCTTTAAAATTGAAAAAAATGTCATGGGGCATCTGTCCTCCTCATCATTGCCATTTGAAGGCCACTGAAGAAAATATATATTTATTTTAAAGCAAGCTATGAACATTTTAAAATATATATTTTTATTTTTATGCTCATAACACGCTTTAAAATATAAAAATAAAACTTATGAGATTTGCTAGTTAATATTTTTTACTTTTAAATTTGATAATAGGTCAATTCACTCTGAAATTAAATACAACAGAGTTAATTGGATTAGTCAGAACATAGAATTGCCATGTAATGTGTTTGTAGACAGACACAACATACTACACATAAGGGTATAGCATCCCTGTAACAATATTAGCGCTTTATACAAGCATAGAAAATAATAATAAATCTATCTTTAATGCATCTATTAATAACTCAAAGAAAATTAATTTTAATTTATATCAAAATATTAAAAATATAATTTTTTCTTACCTCCTTTGCACCACATGTTTTCGATTTACAATCTTTCTCATCTTCGCCATCCAAGCAATCATTACGACCATTGCATTTTAGCTGATTCGATATACAAGTTGGCATTGGTAATTTGCTCAATTTAGAGCCATGTTGACATTTAAAGTCCGTATCAAGACATGTATACTATATAATAATCCATAGTGTAAGTATATACTCCGTTCCATGAGAGAAGGAACTCGTTTCATGATGTAACTGACGGAATTTAAAGACCTATTTCCTTCACTCAAAATATTGTATAACAATACAACTATAAACTATGTTTGATTAGGGGAACTAGTTACCCAGGTCATTAAATTCTATCAGTTACATCGCAAAACGAATTCCTTCTCTCATGGAACGGAGTATAGTTAACATAAAGCAATTTGTATAATTGTATACATTATGTCATATTACAATATTAAAATGGGAATTCTCAAGTTTTCAGAGACACAAAAATGTGTACAAGATTAATATTTTAAAAATAACAAAACAATTGTTTTAAAAAAACTAAATTAATTCATATTAAATAAAAAAAAATTTGCAATAAGGTAAAAATGATTAAGAATCACCACTCCATTAAAAAACAAAAGCATAATATTAAATAATAAATACTGTTTTATTTACATTTCCACAGTTTTCTTCATCAGAATTGTCTTTACAATCAAATATGCCATTACATATTTGTGAAGGCTGTATACACTCATGATTTTTACATTGGAACTGTCCAGGAGTACACAAAAAGTCTAAACAAGTGTCAGGCTCATCAGAACCATCACCACAGTCATCCTAAAATAGATAATCATTTCTTTAAATAGCAAATAATATCATAAAATATAATACAAGTCATAATCTTACATGTTTATCGCAATGCCACCAGAAGGGTATGCATTTAAATGTATTTTCACACACAAAATGGGATGAAGAACAATTTGCAATACAATTCATATTATCTGGTGCAAGAATAAAATCTTGAGGACATGCACATGTTCTACCCAAATTTGGTGATAGAAGACACAAACCTTTGCATCCACCATTATTTTTTTCACAGGGGTTATATGCTCCTACAGTAAATAAAAAGTGATAATTATAATTTGTCTATTAAAAATGTATAACATGAGCCATTAAAAAAATTAAAATCTGATACAACCTATATAAAACAATAATTTTAAACATATATAATTCCAAGTCTTTAAATAACTGATAAGTAAAAAATTATTTTGATTTTAATTGATTTACTTGGTGGTTGTAAAAGAGGATGCACAACTTTAAGATCCATTGGCCTGTAAGCAAGTGATGTAACATTTCGACATTCTTGACCTGAATATATATGACATTTATGAATGCTTTTTGTTTCCCAATCAGACCAATAAACAAAGTTCTCAAATAAAGTGATAGCAAATACATGGTGTATATTAACAAAAGGGTCAATTTCTAAAATAAAATTAAAAATATGTTTATCATAAATTGAAATAGTATTTGCTATTTATAAATAATAATTAACTTACTTCTGCTCATAATGAAATGTCTATTGTTTCCATTTAAGTCAGAATAAGCTATATAGTCCTCTTTTGCATCAGCCCAAAAAAGTTCTTCTGTAGCTAAGCTTATTACTAAGGCATTTGGCCAACCAAGGGATTCATTTAAAATAGCTTTAGGTTCGCTACCATCCATTCCAGCCTTACCAATATAAGGCACGTCCCCCCAATCGGTCCAATACATATATCCTCGAATAGGATCTAAACTGATGGCCCTAGGTTCTTGTAAGCTTTTACTTATTAATACTTTTCTAAATTGACCATTTAACTTAGACACTTCGATTGTATCTTTACCCTTGTCACACCAGTATAAGTTTTTAGCAACCCAGTCCACCGCAATACCATCAGGACTTTTAATTAGTGGGCCATGTAATCTCTAAACAAATCATAAAAATAAGTTTTGAGATCAAGCATTCATTAAAATTTAAAAATCACTATACCTCAGAAGCCGTGTCTTTGCATTTTCGTTTAATTGTGCTACCTTGATTGGATATGTCAGACCAATAGAAACAACTATCAGCATAATCATAATCAACCGCAACAGCATTAGTTAAATTGTCCACTACAATTTCAATTGCCATTCCTCGTAAATCAATTTGTTTTATATTGTGTTTATTAGCAAAAATAAGCATTGGCTTCTCAACTAAAAAATGTATGTTTAATTTTTAATAATTTAAATTGTAAATTCGATTTGAATTGTAAATTGTAATTAGGTATTACTTGTTGAAGCTTTGCATGATATACCATCTCGTAATAATGTATAACCTGCAGTACAGTCACATTTATAAGACCCTATGGTGTTATGACATATTTGGTTACAAGGTTTTGTTATTTCAGTAGAATTGCATTCGTTAATGTCGTGGCATAAGGTACCCACAGACTTATAGCCAGGATGGCATTTACATTCATAGCCAACAGGACGATCTATGCATATATGCTCACAAGGACGAAAGATTTGAGTAATAGATGCTAGTGCACACTCATTAATATCTGAAAATTTTAGTTTTGGATTACTATTATTTCATACAATAAAATAAAGTGAAATATTAATTTTAATAATTAAACTAATATCCACTTAACGTTCAATTATTTTACAAAACGGACATCCCATCTATGTAAATAAGTACAATAAATAAATAATTATTTTATAAATACTCACTACACTTGTCTTCATCACTAAAATCTCCACAGTCATCTTCTCCATTACAGGTAAGATTTGCATTGATACATACTTTATTATGGCAAAAGAAATTATCAGGCCATGAACAACTTTCATTTTTATAATGTTCTAGAATAGTTTTATAAAAATCAATTGTAAAATACTAGGTGGATACTAAGCTTTTTCAACGATATCGATATTGGGAACTTTTGTAAGGAAATTTAGATATCGGAAATCGTAATATATTGATAATCAAAATATATCTTACAATATTAAGTACATCGTAATCAAAATTAATTTTTAATTAAAGGCCCCGGCCATTGGGTATTTGGGTTACCGGAAACCAACTGATTTTAATGGTTTATCGCCAAAATATATTTTAAAAACAATTTTTTGGAGGTAACAATAATCCCGAGTATCGATATATCAAAACTAAATTTTTTTTGGATATCGCGATTCGATATAGTACAAACAAAACAATATAGATATTAAAAAATATATTGTTGTAGAAGACTAGTAAGTGCTAATAATTTGAATACTTACTACACACTTCAGTGTGAAAATTCTCATCAGAATTGTCACCACAATCATTTTTACCATTGCATACGTCAGTTAGTAAGATGCAAGCACCATTTTCACACATAAATTCTTTAACAGAATCACACACCTTACAGTTTTCAGGCTCATCTGAATTGTCCCCGCAGTCATCATGACCATCACAATAATATGCCTAAATATTAAATATTATTAACTTAATAGTTCAAATGTACATTTGTTAAGTGTAGTTTCAAAAAAATACATACCTCAAAAATGCATTTTTTATTAACGCATTCAAACTTGGTTATAGGACAAGTTGAATTGTTGACTACACATTTTTCTTCGTTCTCATCAGAACTATCACCACAATCATCATCCTTGTCACATACCCAGGTAGATGGTATACATCGCCCAGTGTTATTACAATGAAAATCACTACTTGAACAATTTCTACTTACTACACCAAAAAAATATATTTCTCAATAAGTGAAAATTAATTTATGTCATAAAAAAAAAATAACAATAACATACAGCAATTTTTAGGTTCATCAGAACCATCCAAGCAATCCGGAGATCCATCACATTGCCATGATGCTGGTAAACACTCGTAGGTTCCAAAGGTCTTGCAATGAAATTCGGTTGATTTACATTTATTAGCTAGGACATAAAATTTTAAATAATGACAATTTAACATTTTATGATTATAGAGAGACTAGCTGATCCCGTGCACTTCGTCGCCCGTTAAATATATCAACTCAATATGACTCAAACTTTGTTCAATTCATTATTCAATATTCGGTGTATGGTGTTCAAAATTTATCTTATCTTTTCTGTTGCCCGGAATAAAAATTCTGAATCGCAGCAGTACATTATCAGGTAGGCAATCTACCTGCGGTAGATCGCGGACCCCGTGCTGTTTGTACGGAAGTGTATGATTTAACTCTAAAGTATCAAAGTTATACCAAGTTTATTTTGATATAATACTGTGGATTAATATAACAAATTTGGTTGCTCGTAAAAAATCGCAACTCTTAAAAAATTATGATTGTTGAACTCCTTTTGGGTGTAACTTGCTGCGGTAAGTGCAACTCAGCCACCCTGGTAGGCAATGTTCAATAATTCGATTTGATGCAAGCTTGTACCTGATCTGTCCGACTAACCAATGGCAACCAATAAATAAATGCTAATTTCTAATGTAGACTGTAACCAGTGTTGGGTAGTAACGTAACGAAAGTAACGCGTTACTGTAACGCCGTTACTTTGTTTGTAACGCGTTACGTAATTTAATTACAATTATTTTCAAATAACGAAAATGTAATGAAAATTACTTTTGATGAGTAATTTACATAGTATAACGCGTTACAGTTTTAAATTATTTAGTAAATATTGCGAATTTCAAAAAAAAAAAAACTTAAAAATATAATGTCTAATGCGGGTACTATTTATTATACAAGTGGTTAATTATTATACGTTCCTAATGTTCTTATTAACTATTGTCTATTATTAAGCATAAACTATACGTCTGTACATGCACTAAAAATAAATATTGATGGATAACCAATGATTAATCGAATTATTTACATTGCAGTGTTATAAATAATTATTATTGCTGTTTGGCATTTTACAAGAAACGGTGAAAATAATAAACTTATCTAATCTAATATCTTTATTAGTAATGAGTAATGACCGAATATTCATATGTACAATTTATTACTACTATTTTTAATAGTTGTAACTTAAAAGTTATAAGTAATTAATATTGTTAGGTATGTACTTATGTTATTAACCGTAGTTTACATCTTTTCAAATTATACCATATCTTCTGTAAGAAGTGTATTTCTAGTTCCTTTGCTTTTTAAATGATAATAGCTAAGCAATTAAAATAAAAATTATAAAAAAAAAAAATGTAACGAGAAAGTAACGTAGTTACTTTTCTATTTGAAAAGTAAAGTAATTTCATTACAATTTTATTTGAGTAACGAGTAAAGTAACTTTATTACATTTCTCTCTAAGTAACGAGTAAAGTAACTTTATTACTTTTTAAAAGTAATTTACCCAACACTGTACAGTCAATGGCAACTATAAATAAATAAAAATAAAATTTCCAATTTCTATCGTGAATCTCAATGTCCCTGTTTCAGCACCTATTTAAAATGCGAATTTTGCCCAATCCTGTCTTAGCGCACGTCTACATCATAATAGCTATCTGTATGCCAAATTTCAGCCAGATCCGTCCAATGGTTTTATCAATCATATCAATATAAATTATTTTTATTTTTAATTCACTCATTTTAATACCAATATTGTATATTTAAATTAAATATTGCTTGATAGATGGCGCCACTATCATATTCTTTCAACCCCACTTTTACCCCCTTGTAGGTCGAATTTTCAAAAATCCTTTCTTAGTGCGCCCTTACATTGCTTAAGGAACCTCTGTACAAAATTTCAAGTCTCTAGACCCAGCAGTTCCGGCTAGGCGATGATGAATCACCCAGGACAAGTCTTTTTATATATACAGATAGGAGGGGGACTGTATTCCTCAACATTTCAAAATTTATATTCTCTGTCCCTCTTTTTATTTTGTTGAAAATAATACATCCTCTTTATAATTACAGACATACAAATATCATTAATTTATATTTGTGTTTTTCATAAAATTTTTATTTTTCGATGGTTTTAGATTCTGAGCGTAACAACATAAAAATTAAGAGAAAACGGGAATTTTAACACAAGATTGATTTTTGACAAAATCGATTTTAGTTTTTGGTGTAGCCCTAAAACAAATAACCGTTTACATGAAATTTTCACAGGTTTATATTCGCATTATCTATATATGTTAAGGGGATTCGATACCGCGATTTTCTGTTTTTGTCTAACACATGCGCGACATAGTATTTTAGACGTGTTTTTTGCCAAACATTAAAATTGATCTATTGAAGCGATAAGATTTCTGAAAACAGATTTGAATTTGTCGTCAAGTCTACTTGAAATCGACTTTCCCACATTTTTGATTTTTTGATTTTAACTTCTCCAAAAATTGAAATAACAGAATTTTTAAATACTCTTTTTGAATATGACATTTAAAAAAATTCGGGATATACTATCAAAAATGTGGGAAAGTCAATTTCAAGTAGACTTTATGACAAATTCAAATCTGTTTTCAGAATTCTTATCGCTTCATTAGATCAATTGGTATGTTTGGTAAAAAACACGTCTAAAATACTATGTCGCGCGTGTGTTAGACAAAAACAGAAAATCGCGGTATCGAATCCCCTTAAAATTTTCAACATATTTTGATTTGTTTTGAAGTGATAGGGACATTTTCAGTTTCCAATTTTATTAGTTTTTTTTTTCTATGAATGTCAATAAAACTTTATTTAATGGGTAAAAAAGCTTGAAAATTTAATACAAGGCTCCTACTATGTTGTTACAATGGCATTTAAAAAAAATTCAAAATCTTTAGTCACAGTTTTTTTTTAATAGGCATTTAAAGCTCATTTCTTGGTAAAATACGGAAAAATCACGAAATTTAGCAAATTAGGTATTTTGAGTTAGGACTTCATACAATTTTTTCTTTTTAAATTCAAGATTTGAAAATGAAATACAAGATTCCTCATATGTTTGTCTACTTTTATCAAAAAAAAAATATCTACAAGCAAATCAAATTAAATTTTTATGAGCATTTGGTGTTCATGCTTGTGAGACGTGGTCAACGACTAAAGAAGATGAGGAGAAACTACTTACCTTCGAGAGAAAAGTGCTAAGAAAAATATACGGCCCTATCAGAAATAAAACAACTGGGGTCTATGAAAGGAGGAAAAATACCACTTTGGAATCTTTGTACAATAAACCAAGTACTAAATGCTTTTCAAATTCCAAGCGTTTAGAATGGGCGGGTCATGTGTGGCGCGCGGAAGGTAGTATAATTCGGAAGGTACTGATAAATAAACCAGCTGGCAAGCGCCCCAGGGGAAGACAATGGTGGCAACATAGAATCAATATAGACATAAGGATGATAGACGGAACTGCAGACATTGAGATCGCTAATGACCGTAACTTGTGGAGAGGATTAGTAGAAGCTGCGAAAGGCCTAAATGGCCCATAAAGCAAAAAAAAAAAAAATTTGACGTTCATATTTTTACAACATTGGATATTCACTAGATTTCTCATGTAGCGATTTTCTTATTTTATTGTATTTCAAAAACTAATAACTGTAAATACATAAAAATTTCACTGAATGTTTCTATTTTTATTTTCTATACACTGTAAAATATTAAAAATATTTTGACTCTTTTTGAGCGGTTAACGGCCATTGTAAGTTTTCAATTTTTTTAGTGTTTTTTTCTATAATTGTCAATAAAATGTTATTCGTTGGATAAAAATGCGTGAAAATTTAATACAAGGATCCTGATATATTGTTACAATAGCAGTTGAAAAATATTAAAAATACGGTCACAATTATTTTTATAGGCATTTAAAGTTTGAATTTTGAACAAAATTTAATAATTATTTTATAGTTAAAAATGTATAAAATGTTCAACTTTTATATCTAAGGATTGAACATTTAAAAAAACACAAGGTTCCACTATAAATAGGTTATATATAAATTAATTTATTTACAATACTATCATCAAAAATACTTAGTAATATCATAGGCTGACTGACCATCTTCGCTCAGAATCATTTTTCTTATACAATGATATTATATCATTGATTTCAAATTTAACACCATTCATTGTAACCTACTGTACAGAAGAGCAACAGTAACACCCACTTGCCCACCTTTTTTTAATTAGTTTTACAATGATACAATGAACAATGATGTTTACTAATATTATAAGATTTTTAATAAGAAACAAGTACCTACTTGTTTGCTCATTTAAATTTATATGACAAGTAGATAATAAATAAAACCAACCTAATAAATCTAAACATAATTTCTTACAATTGTATGATGATAATAAGATAATATTGGTTGTAGAGATCAAAGTTACATCTTTTTTGATTAATTTTAGAAATGTCAATGAATATAATAAATACAATTTTTATTAAAAAAAAAGTTTAGATTTTCTATTTTTTTTATTTTTTTTTTCCTATTTTCTGTATAGGTGATGGTATAAACTTTGTACCATAACCTACACAGATAGATAGATATAGATTTATACTACAAAGCATACTACTAATAAATATAACTTATAAATACTAACAGTGGTTACTAGTTAGTATTTATAAATTGTATGTACATTAATACTTTAAGCATAATGTATGTAATATTTGTCGTTTTAAATTAAAAATATATTTAAATATAAGTACTTAGGTATATAATTAAATATGCAAAAATAATACAAAAAACTAAAAATGTATAGGTAGGTACTTTATAAAAAGTATTATAAAAAAGGTGGGCAAGTGGGTGTCGCTCTGCTGTACAGTAGGTTACAAGTGGGTCACTGTATAATGGTTGATTTTAAATTTGAATTCAACGATATAATATCATTGTATAAGAAAAACGATTCTGAGCGGAGACGGTATGTCAGTCTATGTAGGTATAAGACATATTATATACATATCTATGGTATTAAACAAAAAATTGACCTATAATAGGTACCTATAATAAATTCCAAATTAATCATATCACAATATCCATTAGGTACTGGTAACGCGTTATACATCAACAAAAACCTTGATACTATCATAGATATATAATAGTACACTTTAGAAGTTTCAAGTACCCACGAATAATATTATTCAATCACAACAAAATAACTAAAATAGTTATTCTAGGTTTTTTAATATGTAATTTCGTCCAAATTTGAATTTAAAATGTCTGTAAAAAATAACTGTGTTCATATATTTTTTAGATTTTTTGGTTATAGTATGAATTATTTAAGAGAATCTTTGTTTTAAATTTTCAACTCTTAGTTATAAAAACTGAACATTTTATAATTTTTTAATTCCAACGATTGATAATTTTCGAGATTTTGATAAATTTTGTCAAAATTCCAACTTTAAATGCTTATAAAAAAAAATCGTGCCTATGTATTTTTAATATTTTTCAACTGATATTGTAACAATATATCAGGAGCCTTGTATTAAATTTTTACACTTTTTGGCCCAACAGATAAAACTTTATTGATATTTATAGAAAAAAAAACTAAAAAAAATTGAAATCTGTAAATGTCCATAAACAGCTCAAAAAGAGTCAAAATATTTTCAAAATTGTATGGTGTATAGAAAATGCTAATTTAAACATTCAGTGAAATTTTCATGTATCTACAGTTGTTCGTTTTTGAATTGCAACAAAATAAAGAAATCGCTACATGAGTAATCGAGTGTCCAATGTCCAATATCCAATGTTGTAAAAATTTGAATTTCAAACGCTCATAAAAATTTAATTTGACTGTCCGGTAGAGATTTTTTTATTGATAAAGGTAGATAATCTTATAAGGAATCTTGTGTTTCATTTTCAAATCTTAGATTTAAAAAGAAACATTTTTACGAATTCTTAACTCAAAATAATTTGCTAATTTTCGTGATTTTTCCATATTTTGTCAATTTTTGAACTTTAAATGCTTATAAAAAAAAATTGTGACTAAGGATTTTTAATATTTTTCATCTGCCTTTGAAACAATATATTAGGAGCCTTCTATTAAATTTTCAAGCTTTTGCAACCAACAAATAAAATTTTATTGATATTTTTAGAAAAAAAACTAAAAAAAAATGGAAAATGAAAATGTCCCTAAACAGTTCAAAATAAATCAAAATATTTTGAAAATGTTATCGTGTATAGAAAATGCAAATATTATAAACAACCAGTGAAAATTTCATGTATATACGTTCATTTGTTTTAGAGTTACACCAATAACCAAAATCGATTTTTTGGAAAACCAATTTTGCGTAAAAATTCCTGTTTTTCCTTAATTTTTATGTTGTTTTTCCCGGCGCTTGTGAAAACTACTGGGAAATTTATATATACTTTTGACCCCCCCAAAGTACCAACTAGATTCACTTTCCTATCAGAAAAGCTACTGATGAAGAAAATCCAAGCACTTTTACTGTCCTAAAACGTGATGACAGACACAAAAAAAAAAAAATATAAAAATATAAAAACATACATCATTGTAAAACCAATACATTCATCGCTCCGCTCAGAATCTAAAAAATATAGACAGAAGTTGAACTCGCCGACCACCCCTCCTCCCAACAGAGCAAAAAATGATCATTACAGAAAAGTTAAATTCCATGTTTTCAAATAGTATAACTGATAATTTTAAATATCAAGGATGATTGAAAAACAGACCGTTTTTTATAACATTAAAAATAATGTCAACACAAAATATATTAAAGTAAGTCATAGGTATCAGTATTTTTATACAGAGAACTAGAAATTGAGCTAAGCTTCTATTTCCTATACAAGAATCAACTTATTCAATTGGCTACATTTTTCATTATAATATATTTTTCAATTTCTACATAATAGTCTTATTTCTCTCCCAGTAGTCAAATTTTTTTCAACAAACTTATCTTTCTTTGCTAATTTACTTAGTAAACTTTATATTTAATTATTATTGCTGTTTGAAATCAGTTATAGAACATTTGAAACTTCAACCAAAGGGCATACCATACTATAACCATACTGGCATACTACACAATGTAGCCAATACAGACATTTTTATACTTGGCTTCAAGCTATATTTACGCAAAAGTTATCTATTTTACTTTTTGTATTTAAAAAAACTACTTACGGCAATTTATCTCATCTGATGAAGGCAATGAGGTATTTGATGAATCACCACAATCATCATCACCATCACATTTCCATGATTTAGAAATACATTTACCATTTGAACATTTAAAATCAACAGATGAGCAGTTATTTTTTTCAGTAGCTAGATGTTTGACTAAAACAAAACACATTTAATAACTATAATAATTATTAATTTTTAATATACAAAAAAATTGACTAACTTGTTGAGCAATTTTGTTCATCACTGTTATCCCAACAATCATTTTGACCATCACAAATCCAATTTGGATGGATACAAGCAGTAGTTGTATTACAGCTTATTATTGTAGCATTAAATATTAAATCTTCACAAATCTTAAGATCTTAAAATAGTAACATATATTTGTTAACATAAATTATATTAGATACAGTAAGAAAATAATTTTTTAAACATACCACAACCAATTTCATCACTTGCGTCACTGCAGTCAGGATCAAGATCACAGCGTAAATTTGGAGCTATACATTCACCAGACTTACAACGGAAAAAAGTAGCATTTTTACAAGAACATTCTAATTCGTCAAAACCATCCAAACAATCAAAAAGTCCATCACATTTTTTGCTATTTGGACGACATTGTTTGAAATCTGGGCACGAGAAAAATCCTTCTGGACAAGACCTTGTGGCTATTAAAATATTAATTAGACGAGAATACAAATCTATAGTTATTTAAGTTTAATATTAGATTAAGTTGAATACCACAATATTTTAAGTCTTCATCAGATTCATCAAGACAATGGTTTATACCATCACAAGTGTTTTCAAAAGGTATACATTCATTAGATGAACACCAAAATTCATTATTTGAACAATTATTTTCTAATTTGTTTTCAACACATCTATGTTTATCAGGTAGGAGTGTACGGTTGTTAAAACAAGAACATTCTACAGCACCTTTAATATCCAAACTACATTTATCTTCACACTGTCCATTGAGTAATCTGCATGGGTTTCTATTACCTTGAGATATAATAATAGCATAATATAATTTACTAAACTAAAACCACTAAAGAAAAATAATATTCTAGAATTTACAATCATTAATATTTTCAGCAACTGCGACTATTCCCATAGGTTTTAAGACATCTTTTCTTATCCATGCAATATTTTCACCAGTGTATTTGTCAGCTCGTAAAACTGCATTTAACATCCAGTCAGTCCAAAAAAAATAATCACCATACACAGCAATATCAAATGGATGTTGTGGATACAATTCAGCAAGCACCTATTACACAACATATTTGTATACATTATAGATATTATAAGTTTCAATAACTAAAAATAATTAAAATACCACGCGGTTTGTTCCATCATATTCACATCGCTCAATTTTATCCAACTTTGCATCACCCCAATATAGTTTATGAGTTGTATGATCTATTGTAAGAGCATTAGGAATCTGAATATCAGTTGTTATAATTGACTGTAGCATAAATCCATTAACATAAGATTTTTGAATGCTAGGTTTTAAATCATTCCAATTGGTCCAAAATATCAGTCTAAATAAATTTATTATAAAACATTTAAATATTATATATATAAATTTATAATAGACACAAGTAAACCATTTTAATCCGTTAATCAGTGAGTAAATATTAATTAAAACTAAGCCAATAATCGATATTAGGAATGATTAGTAAGAAATACTATTGTATAAGTAAAAGAATTGTTTAATGTATAAAAATATTAATTACAGAATGAAACTGACTTTGGTTTAAAAATAATAGGTAGTAAATTAAATTCTAATGTAATACTACCTCTTTTTATTAATTTAGTTTCACAAAATTATAAATTAAGACGAATGTTTAAATGTCAAGTACTGTAAGTGGTATTATCTTAATATATAATTTAAATTTACATGTTATTTCAATCAAATAATATTTTATGTAAAATTAAAGAATCAGCATTTTCAAAATGTAACATACATCTATTTTTAAGATAAAAATATTACTTACATCTCACAGATATCAATTGCTATGCCACGTGGTCGATCTGATTCTCCTAATTTTAAAACTATTTCAGGAACAGCATCTGGTTGGCTTAGATTTAATCGACTTATAGATGCATAACTGTTTGTCCAGTACAATATATTTTCACTCATTTCATAATCGATACCTTCTACAGACCCTTGATCTAATAATGTATTATGAAAACAAAAGTAAAAATTAATTTAAAATTTAAGACTAATTTTAATAATATAGAATAAAAAAACTGAATACATACTTTCTGCAATTACTCTATGGCCTGTATTATTAAAATGAATAGCATCAATAGTTCCACGTTGAATATCTGAGTAAAATAATAAAGAACGTGCATAATCATATGACAATGCAATTATATTCTGCATAAAAGTTTTTGATTCCATGACTCTAAATGGTGTGTTCAAATTTGGATTTTCAGATATAGTAACACTATCAATTTTATCCACTCGAGAATACATAAGAAATGTAGTATAATCTAAAAATATAAATATTAGAAATAATATAGGCACAAGATTACTTAAAAATTGAAAACCTTTATTACAAAGGCAGTTGAAAAGTAACAAAATATTATTATCTAATTTTTAAGTAATAATACCTTCACATTTCTTCCCGTCAGATCCAACAATACCGTGTGTACAAGCACAAACCCCATGAGTCCCATTAAATAAACATAGTTCTTGACATCCTCCATTATATTTAGTACAAATATTAGATCCTTGATGACGACTTTTTGAAAATATTTGAACATCTTTTGGATGTTCCCCAAATTCTCGTGTTAATTCCTCCGATGCGGATAAGTTATTAATAGGTGAAACCATTAACGATGATGACCCTTGTACTTGCATACTGAAAAAAAATATATTTCTCAATTATTTAATATTAATTTAAGCTTTGGTATGCAACTTACATTCCAAGCCAATAAATATAACCATTATGTACAACAACACTAGCAGGGTTACTATCTTTATCCTCATATAATATTTCATATTCCGTACCATCATAATTACAACGACCAATCAAACTTTGTTGGCAAAAGTATAACTTGCGGTTCTGTTTTTAAAATAAATATAAATAGATGCTTAAATAAATGCATGTTTTATAGTTAACAAATATTAGGTAAATACCGTGTAATCCAATGTAATATCTTCGACATATGGTTGATCTTTATTAAGTAAAATACTTTTTTTATTCATTCCATCTAGAGTTGCTCTTGAGACTCCATGATGACGTCTAATACTCCAAAATAAAAAACCAGCAACAGGATCTACAGCCAAAGAATTAGGCCTCTCCATGGTATCGTCTCCACTATCTACCACCACATAAGCATTAGATCCATTAAGATAAGCTACTTGAATAATATTTAAAGACGGATTTGCCCAATAAATATGACCAGCGATCCAATCAACAGCAATTCCTGAAAAAAATAAAAAGTACATAAAAAAAATTTTACATATTAATTATAAGTTTAAATAAGGTATACCTGATACCCAAGCACCTGAATTTGTATCACCAGAATGTTCATGATTTACAATTATTTGCCTACCAGTTCCATCACGTTTTATTCTCATGATAGTTCCTTGCTCATCGTCTGACCAGTATATATATTCTAAAGTTTTATTTTTAATTAAAATAATATGTGCATTAAATTGTATACTAAACTATTACCTCCATGAAAATCTATGCTATATGCCATTGATGTTTTAGATAATGGACTTAGAACTTGTCTTGAATCATTTTTTACTAAAGATATGCCTTTGATTTCAGACTCCACGGTGTACAGTAAAAATTCACTGACACCAATACATTTTTTCTTATCTTTTGGATCAATAGTATATCCAATAGCACACCGGCAAACCCAATGATCAGCAGAAGTAGGTAAACAAAGATGAGAGCACATTCCTCTATTTTTTGAACAATAGTTAACACCCATTTGTAAAGATTGATCATACAGACTCAATGCATACACATCTGTTAAATGGAAATTTATAAAATTAATTTTATCTCCATATCTGTATATAAAAACAACTTTGATATACTATGTACATTTAAAAAATATATAGTACCAGTATAAAACTTAATAAGCATTAAAAATATATATATATATTTTTTTTGGAGAAGAAGAATTTATAAATATAATTTTTAAACCATAACATTTAAAAGTAATAATTCATATTTCTTTTCTTAGATATATTTAGATAATAATATATTACCTGCAGTTATGTTGCGAAAATTTGAATTTTCATCTCCAGTAATTTTATTTGCAACTCGAATATTCATTAATCTGTTATCCACATAGTATATATTATTTTTATATAAAGCAATAGATGATGGAAAACCTTCTTCTGGTAAATTTAAAGAAGGATTTATTCTGGAATCTTGTATACTATAAGACTGTATAGAATGTTTATCAGAATTAACCCAATAGAGTGTATTTGTTTCCTGATCAATAGTTAAGCCTAAAGAAAATAATATAATATTCAATTAAATAAGCAGTACCTTTATTTAAATAATTTATAAGACCAATTTATTAATAAAACAACATTGAAAATTCTGTAAACAAAATATGTAGTAATATGTTCATATTATAGCTACAGCATATTTGTAATAGGCATTATAGTTGTCAGGAATCTATATGATGTCATTCAAGTACTTAACATCAGTTAGCCAAATCTCAAAACACATATAGTATTTTAATTCATATTGATTTATATAAATATTATAGTATATATTAAGGTACAGTTTCATTAATGCAGTTGACTGCTGCAGTCAACTGCGGAAACGAAACCATACCTTTAATTAATTAAAATAATTCAGTACTTATGAGTAGGGCTAGGATGTTGCTGCATTGGCAACTTTTTTTCCATTATTTGGATTTGTTGCTAAGCCGGTTTTAAAATTTATCTCATGCAAGTACAAATTTTAATCTAAACATTTTAGTACAACTTTTTGCAATTTTTGGCATTTTTTCAATTAAATTGCAATTTTGTTGATTTTTCTCATTTATAATACAATTTTAAATACTTTTCAATGCAATTTAAATGATTTTTTTTTTTTTGCTTTGATCAGGTGGCCGCCGTTGGCCAACCGGAAATGCGATAAGACGATGCCACAATTATTATTTTCTTGAAACTATAATAGAATTATTATACCTACTCTATACACATTTTTTGTTTTTGACTGATTTTTCATAAGGTTGTTGTTGCCATGGTTATTTATTAACAAAAACTTATTTATGATTCATAGATTTTTCTTAAAATATAAAGTAGCGTTCTTTTTTAATTATGTAACAAATAATTTTTAATTTTCAGTTTATCATTATTTTTTAAATTATATTTGATAATATAATGTGTCTATAAGAAAAATCATTAATTAATACAACAAAATATTTATTAATTAATATTTCAATAAATTTGTACTGATTGTTTTTTATTATAGTTTAATGTGACTTACACATGCAATCACATTTTTATTATTTTTTATATATTAATCTACTAACTTTTAACAAGTATAGAAAGCTAATGGACACCTTATGAATTTGATTTATTTTATATAAAGTATTAAACAATTAATAATAATTGTCACTAAATTTTTTGATTGGTAATAAGCGTTAGCGTATGCCACACCAACATGTGTTGTCTTTGTCTTACAAACATAGCAAATTTTTGTAAAGCAGAACCCATTCTGTGTTGTTAAATTAACGGAGTTAATTAACTTATTATCAAACTTAAATGTAAGAACATTTGAACATGATATGATTATATAATATATATCATTTTTTACGATATTTAAAATTTTCAGTAAGTTATGTGTTTGTTAAATAATACAATATACAAATAGTTATCTCGCTTAAACAATGTAAATATAGTACAAAAAAATCAACATACAAACATAGATAATGTCTTTCCTTAAAATGTCATAATAGGTCAAATATCTATAACAAATACATTATTGGTTCTGCTGAGCGCAAATACCTGTACTTTTGTATTTGTAAGACAGATACAACCCATGTGGGTGTATAAAACTGTACAATAAATTAATATTTTTGTTAACAATCATTAAGTTTACAAATACTTACTAGTAAAACCTGATACAAAAGGTATTATTTTTTCTGTATAAATGACGGAATAAGAAGATGCATTCATATTGGACATTATAATATTATGATGGCCACTTGACATTCCTTGTGTCCAAAACAATTTGCCTTGTTGTGGATGTACAGCTAATGCACCTATTTGTAGAGTTTTGTTTGTATCTTCATCAGTCCAATCACTAGAATATATGGTAGTAAAATACTCTCCGTCCAGATTACAGGCTATTATAGTTCTGGCACCAGAGATTTTTTCCTCTGTAAGAGGATTTTGATCAGAACTAACTGCAATGAACATATTTTTTGATAACCAATCAATAGCAAATCCATGTGGTTGATGAATTCCTGAAGCAAGGGAATATAAAGTAAAAATGATGATATTTAAGATCAGTTTAAGTTGTAGAGTATTCTAAATGACACTGGTTAGATTTTTAACCTCTTAATGTTTTTTACAGTTAAGTATAAATATTAAAATACCTGTATCTAAAACTACTTCAATGTTGCCACCAGATAAGTTAGATCTTTTAATTTCGTTACTTGAATAATCAGACCAGTAAATTTTCTTATCTGCAGCCAAATAATCTATTTGTACATGCAGTAAAGCTTGTGAATCATAAGACAATAATGTTGGAATTGCATTATAATATGGTTGTTCTAAATTAACACCTCGGATTTCATTATTTTGTGCAAATAATAAAACAATTTCATTTTCTAAAATATAAAAACAATGTATTAATGTATATAAAATATAAAACTACATAAAATATGTTTTTAATTTTTACCAATGCATGTATGATTGTCCTTGGATAATTGCATAACATGTGGACAATCACATTTATATTTAGAATTTATATTCAATAAACACAAATGTGAGCAATTTCCATTATTTGTTCCACAAGGGTTAAATTCAACTAAACAATCGAAACAAAAAATATTACATTGATTAGTCATGATTTCAATCGAAGGTAAAGATAATCATTTATTAGATGAATGAGAAAATGAGAAAATTTTAGTTAAATTTTCTGTTAAATAATTAACTTTTGAATGATTATTTAACAGAAATAAAAAATTAAATGTAAATAGGTAATAGCTTAAAATCAATTTAAACATTTTGAAAATGTCATTGCATAATATGCACTTATAGTAAAATTTATAATTTTTTAAGTCCACACGGATAATGTTATAGAATTACAACTAAATAACTAACATTATTATTCTTTGTTTAAATATTTAATTTTGTCCAAATCATAACTTAAAATGTCAATAAAAATATTCTTTTTGGTTACAATATTAACTATTGACATTTTATGTCTTTGCTTTGGCACATAGAAATATAGAATCGAAATCGAAAAACGTTACGTTGCAAAAAAAATTGCAAAATATCATTTTTCTCATCCGAGATTTGAACTCGATATACGCGCTTATCACACGATAGTTAGGAGCGACTGCACCAACGCTCAATGTGTTTGATACTTCGACCATTTGAGCATATAGCGAATGTCAAGAAAGTCGGACGTGGACGGTAAAAAGACATAAAATGTAGTACTTCATTGCAGTCTCGTATGCAATATGTTTCATTTACGTCTTTGCTTTGGCACATAGAATCGAAAAACGTTACGTTACATAATGCGTTACGTTTCGCCGCGATCCGAAAGCATTACTCCTCCACAAACACACGCACACACACAAGCACATATTTATGTTATGTCGCGTCTCATTAATAAAATAATTTTTTATATGATTTTTAACTAACTTGATAAGTAACAATTTTATAAGAAACCTTGCTTTAAAATTTCAATCCTTGGCTAAAAAAATTGAACATTTTATACATTTTTAACTAAAAGAAATGTGTACATTTTCGGGATTTTGATGAATTATGTCAAAAACTTGGAAATTTAAATGCTTATGGAAAAGTTGCACCTACGTCTTTTTAATATTTTTGAACTGCTGTTAAAACAACTTATGATGAACCTTGTATTAAATTTTTAAGTTTTTTGACTAACAAAATATTAAATCGATTTAAAAAAAAAACCAAAAAGAATTTCATTTCAAATGCCCATAAATAGCTCTATAATTAAGTTTAATTTTTAAGTTTAAAATCGAAGCACTAAAAGTAATACAAAGATACTGCTCAAGATAAAAATTGAAAAATTATCAAATACAAAATACATTTTCAATTTAATACCACGCTGTCATATTTATCGGCACAATATAATTTCACTACATTCACCACTAGATCAAAATATCAATTGTATCAAAATAAAGTAAAATTAATAGGTCGGATTGATAATACTAACTTAATTTTAAGTTTATCATTTTTACCTTTTGGTTGTCGGCTAGGGTGCAATATTTTTATATCAAATGGTTGTGTAACAGTATGTTGCACAACAGTAACATTCAATCCAGTCCATTTATTAGCTTTATTCACTGAATTACTTCTCCAATCAGTCCAATACACATCATTTTCAAAGAGAGTAATAGCAAATGAATGTGAAAGAAGCTCATGCCCCTTTAATACGAGATGATGATTATTGCCGTTATAATCTACAGTATGTATTGTATCTGATCTATAAAAAAAATGTATAAATAATTCACCATTCATATTATTAAATAATTAAATAAAGTTTACTTGGCATCAATCCAATAGATACGATTTAGTTCATAATCTAAAGTTAATCCATTCGGCCATTCTCCATCAGAAAACATGCTTACAAGTACAATAGTTTGGCGAAATTCTCCAGCCATGCTGCATCGCTCAATTCGGGGTGCTGTTGAATCCCAATCAGTCCAAAATAAATAACCATATCTTGGATCTAATGCAATAGCCCTAGGACTTTCCATGTCCCCAGCAATTAAAGTCCTTCGATAACTTCCATTTAATTTAGCCACTTCAATTTGATCTAAATTACTCTCAACCCAATAAATATTTCCAGCTACCCAATCAACAGCAAGGCCTTCAGCTGTAGTAAGACCATTTTGAACTACAACTTCTATGTCACTCAATGCTAAAAATAAAATATATATTTATTAACTATTTCCAATATTTAACGAAGAACCATATATTTTATATTCAACATACATCCACCAATTATTTTTCCTTTAAATATTTTATCATCCATTACATCAGTCCAATATAGCGTATCAGTTCCATCCTTAGCATGATAAAAATCTAATGTAACAGTGTTTTTCAAATGAGAAATTAACGATTTGACATTTCTTGTAACTAGGTCAATTCCTCGTAATTCGTGTTTATTACTAAATATTATTTGAGGTATATTAGTATCTGTAGGAATAAAATTACTTAATAAATTCAAATAATTAATTTAAATAAATATAATACAATAATTGATAACAAATATACCTGTACTTTTACAAGTAAAATGATCTGTAGCTAGTAAATATCCTTCATTACAAGTGCATTTATGTCCATAGTGGCCAAGTTTCATACATTTTTGAGAACAACGTCCCCAAGTACTACAAGGACTCACCACTGAACATGTTGTATTATCATTTTGAAGAACCATGTTGGTAGGACATAAACATATGTACCCATCAGGACTATTTTGACAAATATGTGAACAATCAGATGATAACTCACATTCATTTGAAGCTAGAAAATGAATTATTATTTATTAAACTTTTGAAGACATTATTAATAATTTATAAAAATGTTAAAAATTTGTAGATCTTCTTCTTTTTCTACGCCTTTTACTATATGGGGTCAGCCACCCTTGTCCTACACAGCTGCAAGTCCATATGACTCTGTCCTCCATCTCTTCTTCGGTCTTCCTCTCAATCTTTTTCCTTCTACATTAATTATATAACCAGTCTCACTAGTTCTGCGTCACCTCTCCTCATATTATGACCAAACCATCACAACCTATTCTCCCTCATATTGTCAACAATTGATGTCACTCTAACACTACCCCTAATGAATTAATTTCTCATTCTATCCCCTCCTAGTCACTCTAACCTAACCTTAATTTAGTATTCTCATCTCTGCTAAACTCATTCTCGATCTGTATTATTGTGCACTTCTTAACATTCTGATCTATAACAAGATGACTATTGTCTCATAACTGCTTTAAAAAATCTACCATTTAACCTCAAAAGCGTTCTCCTGTCACATAAAATACATAACCCTTCTCTTAACTTCATTCCTCCCAACATAATTCAATTTATGACAATATTTTAAAAACAACCATTTTTTTTTACCATCGTTCTTAAATACTTGAACGTATTTACCTCATACACTATATCATCTCCCATCATCATCATATGGGCCCATCCATTACTTCCTCCAAAATCATACGCAATTGTCTCTGTTTTACTCCTACTCTTCTCTTTTCCCCAATGTTGTTCACTGATCTTCCAATATCTCTTTTACATCTTCAAGGCTTTCCCCCACTAATACAATATTATCTGCAAACATTAACTGCACCTCACTCTGTTTATCTTTTGTAATTTTGTACATTACTAAGGAGAGCAGGTAAGAGTTCAATGCTGATCCATGATGCACACCTATTATTACACTAAATTAATTTGTTACCCCGCATACACTCTTCATATTACCACTTCATACATACCATCTATTACTTTCACATACGCCATCAGCACTCCTTTCCTTCTTAAGGGGCCCCAGTGCCAGTTTTTTAATTAGCTACAATTTTATAAAATTTGAAAATTAAATTTTATATTTTAGTTGCCACCTTAATTACAATTGTCCACTGATCTATTAAACGATACCTATTAAGGGGAAGTTGATAGGGTGTATTATATCGAAAAAAAATGACTTCACGGGAATAATTTTCAGGCCTTGTAGAATTGTCAGATTTTGATAACTATTTTTTTATCTGAAAAAAGAAGACTTCCTACAGGCCACATCAAACTCCGATTTTTTATTATATTTCAAAAATTTATATAATAGAATTTATAAAAAAAACGCTTTAAATTGAATTATTTTTGAAGACATATTATAAAGTTGGAAATTAAAATATTAAAAAACAATGTTATATATTAGAACCCGTAGACATCCACTGATTTAAATTTAAAAATAATTAATAATATTTATTTTGTATGAATATTGAATAGTGTTTAGTTTTTTAAATACATTTATTAAAATAAATCCTTTATACCGCTTTCGTTTTTTATTTCTCCAAATAGTAGTAAAATGGCCTCTGTTGGCCGCTAATTGCTACTTGCTCTAGTTGCTTATAAGCTTTTAATACCAATAAACTGCTAGATATTTGAAAATTACATTTACAATATACACTAGTTAATATGAGTAATTTTAATTAGGATTATAAAAGGGAAGGAGATAATATTAACATACTTTAAACGGCATGGTTATTGTTTAAATATTAAATGTTAAAACTGGCCTGCCTAAAATCTTGCACACCAGGAAAAAAAACTGAAATGACGCCACTGAAGGGCTGAAATTGTTTACTATAATTGCGCCTATGAAGCAGTAAGCAGCATACTTAATTGTCTTTTCTTTTCCTTGTACTTCAGTCTACCTCATATAGGTCCCTTAGTAGATCTTCCAGATATAAACCCCAACAGATTATTCAAAAATAAAATAGATGATACATACATAATTTGCATTAAATAAAAAAACAAATCAAATCAATTAGCTGTTATTTAAAGTTAAGATAATAATTGAATTAAGGAACATTAAATAAAATTTAATAAATTGATATGTAACTTAATAAAAACAAACCTATTGTTGAAATAATGAATAATATTTAACTTACCACATTGTCCACCTTCATCTGAACCATCAAAACAATCATTTTTACCATTGCATAACATGTCTACAGAAATACACGTTCTCTTATTGTCACAAGTAATATTTGGATATGCACAAAATATTGAAGATGAATTGTCGATTTCATGAGAATGGCAATTTTCAAGGGTACAATTTTTAATTGCATCTAAAATGTACATATTAATTTAGTACTGGATGTTAAACTTAGATGAATGGTGTTAAACCATTTTTTAACTCAATAACTAATATTTTATGTACAAGTATTTAGGATGTATTTTATTTTCTTGTTTAATATTTTTACATCTTTAAATTTAAGTTAATAATAAGTATACCCGTTTTCAAAAGAGAACATACCAATTTATGTCAGGCGGCAAGCATCCCCCTTAATTTTCCATTATTAGCGAGTTCATGTGATTCTCGACACACCAATCGAATCATTGGACATACGCAAAAGCAATATGTTCTCTTTTGAAAATGAGTATAGTTTAAACTTTACTCAAATTATTAAGATAAAATTGAGCATTATTAGCATTTTTACATAATATTTTTAACTTACGGCAATTATTTTCATCACTACCATTAGGACAATCAGGTAATCCATCACAAACATAATGTTTATCAATACAAAAACCAGTGGTATTTAAACATAAAAACTCATCATTTGAGCAGATATAATTAGTATGGTTCAATCCACTACTACAATTGAATTCATCTGTTGCTCCATCACAATCAATAACTCCATCACATTTTTTTTTTAAAGGTATGCATGTATTGTTTTTTGCACAAAGAAACTAATGTAAAATGTAAATAACACAAATATTATTATTTATTAAAGAAAATAAGATTAAAAATCTAATTGATTTAAAATACAATACAAAATCATTTATCGTACTTCACCAAAACAATCTGAACATTTTTCTTCATCTGAACCATCACCACAATTATCTTCTGCATTGCAAACATATTCATAAGATATACAATGTCTATTTGTACATGTAAACTCAAGTTCTTGACATGTGTGTGTTTCTGAAAAATATTGTTTATTAAAATATAATGTATTATTATTTAATATTATGCAGTTGGGTTTCTATTATTAAATATTTATGTACACAGAATATTTGTTTATAATATTAATATAGTATCATAAGTTCTTTACATTTTATACAGTGGGCCTACTCGAGACCAATACACTCAAACTTTAAAGGCACATTGTACTAAATTAAGTTGGGAGAATGAAAAGTGGTTGCTGATGCTTTTGGTAGTGAATTTTTGTGATGGTTTCACAAAGCGTACATTTTGAAGTATTGAATTCAGATATAATTACCTAATACATATGTATTACAAAATGAACGTTATATACAATTTTTAGTACCCATGTTTTTCAAAGAAAAAAAGGTTGCTATCATATTGTCAGCGGCCACTTTTCATTCTCCCGACTAGAGTTTAAGTTTTGTGTGAAGATTAAACTAATATATTCATTTAACCCATGAAATAACCTAGGGTTTTAAAATATATGGCTCCAAATAATCAACAGAAAATAATATCGTATTATGCTCTTATATAAATATTTAAAATTTATGAACAATCAGATATTAAGAGGAAGTGATACTCGCATGCATTGTCTTTGTCTTACAATTGTACAACATAGCAAAAGACTAGTTTTTAATCTTAAACTAATTAACTGATTATATACAACATACCACAATATTGATGTTCGTCTGATGTGTCTCCTTCCCCACAATCAAATGTGCCATCGCAAACCCAGGAATGAGGAATACAGCGTTTAGTAACTGAACATGAAAATTGTGAAGCTAAGCATGATTCACATAATCCAGGACTCTCATCAGATTTATCATCACAATCATTATCACCATCACAAATCCAGAATTTTGATATACATTTATTACTATCCCTACATGGAAAGTTCTCTTGAGGACAACTATGATTTCCTATATACATTACAATAACATTAAAAAACAAATAAAACAATTTTTGACTGAGCTTGAAATCAAAAAATGTTTTTGATTTTAATTTTAATTACACTTATTGATATTAGGATACTCTAATTTAAATACAAAAATATAATATAGGTCACTACCTATTGATTTTATAATTTTTATATTCTTCTTTTGTAAACAAATTGAATATATTTAAATTAAAATTTTGTTTCCCAATATTTAAATGTATTTATTAATTATATAATTTTTATTTTAGTTTAAATTTTAATTATCACTTAAAAATTTTTATTTTGATCGAGCTGCACACAGAAATTACCGGTTGTGTGTTCTTACCTACTTTTCATGTGTGCTTATGAAATGGGCCCAAGAAATCGAAATATCATTGTTTATTTTATTAACAACCAATGAACAATAATAGAACTATTTAATGAATTTTAAATTGTAATCATTTTTTTTTTAATTTCAAATTTATCTGTATAGGGAAAAACAATTTTAAAAATAATAAAAAGAATTTTCTATTTTTAAAAGACTAAAGATTTTTATAATTGATTTCAAACCCTAATTTTTAATCAAAATTATATACCACAAGGGCCATATTCTGAAGTGTCTTCATCAGAACCATCTCCACAATCATTGTCTCCGTCACATACATATTTCTTTGATATACATTGTTTATTTTTAATACATTGAAATTCATCAGCTCCACAGGCATTAGGTGTAGAATAATTACTAGACTTGACACATTCTTTTTTTTTATCATCAGTTGTTCTCAATACATAACCATCATTGCACATACAAACTGGTCCATTGGGAGTAGACATACATAATCCAGGACATAAATCTAATTTTTCACACCAATATGGAGACGCTTTGACTAAAAAACATACAAAATAAAATAATAATAGTCGTTATTAAAAAATGTGCATTATTAGTCAAGTTAAACAATTATTATTTTAAAAGAATACATTTTTATTATGTGTAAATTATGTAGTGTATTACAATATTTTAAACATAAATGAATAATCCAACATTTCTTACCTTGAGCTTCACTATTATACACTTTTAATGTATAAAGTGGAGGATTTTCAATTCCTAATGTTTCTTGAGATTTGTTTATTAAATTATAGCTTTTTATCAATACTTCCGTAGCAGCAGTTTCAGTCCAAAATAATAAATTATTATATATAGCAATTCCATATGGATAAGGAGTTGATCGTTTAATAATTTCTCTGTTACTACCATCCAAATCAATACATTCTATCCTATCCTTGTAAACATCTGACCAATACAACTTTCTAGTAAAAAAGTCTAAGGTTAAGCTCATTGGCCATTGAACATCCACATTAACAAAGGTTGTTTGGTTATTTCCATCCATCCAAGCTCTCTCAATACTGCCACCGGTGCTGGTAGAGCCTCGAGGCCAATTGCCCCAGTACATAAACCTTGAAAAAATTGTCATTTATGAAATATTTTAAATAAATAAATTAGATTGACAATTTTACATACCCATTTTTAGGATCAAGTACAATTGATCTAGGATGATAAACTCTATTGGTTATCAATACTTTTTGTTTAGTTGGATCATCAATTTTAAACACATTAACTGTACCCAAACCTTCATCTGTCCAGAATAAATTACGACCAGTCCAGTCAATAGCCAAACCTTCACAATTCATTTCTGGTAACATTTTTACTAATTCTTTCTTTGTTCCATTCAATCTCATTCGTTCAATTGCATTTTTTTTCCCCCCTGAATAATATATCGATTGTGTTTTGACATCATAATCAATAGTTGTAGGTATTCTGCCTTCGTTCAATGGTAAAATAATTTGTTGTTTATGATTTTTTGAAATCATGGATATGCCTTTAATCATTGGTGGATTACTTTTTCCAAATATCAAAAATGCAGGCAATTTGGATACTAAAAAAGTTAAACATTATAAACTAAAAAAAATTATTTTCTTTTTTTAAATATTAGATTGGATTGTAAACAGTCATGCAGATAGCTGGTACAGAGCTTTAAACTGGTGACAGTGTTTATCATACAACTACCTTCTCCCACTCAACCACACTAAATATTATAAAAGTTATAACTTTAAATATAAGAATATACTAACAAATGCATTTTCCAGAAGTAAGTCTGTAACCAGGTTGACATAAACATTGAGCAATAGCTTCTTTATTTTTATAAGCAGTAACACAAATATGGTCACAACCTCCATTATTGATCATACAAGGGTGATTAACTAAATAAAACATAACAAAATAATATTGATTAAATTTATTCATGAAAAAGAAAAATTGCATAAATAATTAATATTTGAAACAAAAACTTGATTTACTAAAAGTTATTAATATTTAAATAATGTTAAGATGGTAATATTAAATATTAGGGGCTTCTTCAACGATATATTTTTGAATATCAATATCGTTTTGAATTGTGCAATATCGAGAAAAAAAATGTAGGTTTCTATATATCGATATTCTTATATCTCTATGACTATCATAATAATTGTCAATACTCAATTGACTAAGTACTAGGTAGTAACTAATATTAGTTAACAATTGATTGTTTTAAGATATATTATTCAAGAGATTTGACATTAGAATCAGACATCAGTTCAGCTTGCTGTACATTGATTATCGATAAATTTCGATTACCGATACCTTAATTTCCGAAAAAAAGTTCTCAATATCGATATCAAATCAAAATATTGATATCGTTGAAGAAGCCTATTAAATATACTAATATCATTACTTTCAAAAAACTATTACATACTTTCAGGTTGTTCTTGTCTGTGGTATACATGAATTGTGAATGGCCGACTTAAGTTTGTGATCAACGATTCATAATAACTGCCATTAAATTTATTAAGTTTTATAACACTTTGTAATCTCCAAGATGTTACATACATATGATTTTCAAACACAGATATGTCGTATAAATTTATAACCTAAATAAACATTTTATATACATAAACATGTATTTAATTTTTTTGTATTTTACATATATATATATTAATACTTACAGGATATCCTTTTTTTATTGTACGCCGATTAGATCCATCATAATTGATTCTCTCGACAAAATCTAAGTAAGTATCTACCCAATAAATATGTTCTGATGGAATATCTACAGTTAGTCCATATGGATAAACTATTTTGTGTTCTATCAAAGGTACTCTATCAAGACCCGAAAGTTGAGCTCTTTCTACCATTGCAGGATATTGTCCCCATTTTGTAAAAAACATAAATCTAAAAAAATATAAGAATACTATATTTCAGAGTATAACTGTTACACGAACAAATATGACTGATACAAACAAATATTATTGAAACAAAACTTATAATATATAGCATAACAATGTGACTACTAGGGATGCGCAAAAAATATTGACAATATCGAAATGTCGATATTTTGAGAAAATATATTGATATTTCGATACTGTTAATATTTTTTGAGCATCCCTGGTGACTACCCTGGCTTGATTCTATTAATCTTCCAGTCTTACCACCCTCTTTTAATCAATTAATATAACCATACTCATATTGTCACAAGTTTTCACCAATAGATTATAATCACATTTACCATTTATTAGTATTAGGAGAGCAACCCGGTAAAGTCTCCAACCAATTTACTTAATTGATAACAAGTTCTATAAGTACTTAAGTTATAACTAAAGCTCAATCAATTGAGTATCAATTTGGTTTTTTTTTTTGTATTATACTGAATTAATATTAAACTTAATAAGGCCACATTGCACCATCAATATGCTATACTATTTCAGTACTAATAATAACATACAAATTAATAGAAACACATACCCTTTGGTTGGATCCAAAGCAATACTTCTAGGTTTATTCAAATTAACATCAATCAAAATTTGACAATATTTCATATTATAAGTACACATATATATCATATCTCGATCATCATCAACATAATACCAGTTTCTTGATACCCAATCTAATGCCACATGCGTAGTCCCTAAAAAATAATTATTTAAATAATTATAACTTATATAAATATATTTATAGAAAAAGTTAAAATCCAAACCTAATAATGGAAAAAATGTAGGTGGAGGTAAATCCCAAATGTCCGTCACGGAAAGATTATCAATATTAGCACAACTCAATTTAGCTCCATTTGTTTTATTGTGTTGATGTACAAAACATACTGTATGGTTTCTATGATCAAATGTCAAAGAAAGTGCTTGAACATTACATCTTTCGCCAGCATAAGAACTTCCATTAAGGTATATTCTTCGAATATCTTTAGAAGTACTAACAAGTATTGATGCTTGTTCATTTTCAGGAACTGTAAAATTAATTTCAAAGATTAATGAACTATGTAAGATAAAGTATTAAGTATTTAATTACCATTAATAGCTTTACATGTTGAATTTGTTTGAATATAACCAGGAACACAACTACAACTAAATGATCCTTTTTTATTAGTACATATTTGATCACAAGTATAATTTAAAACTTCACATTCATCCATATCTGAAGAAAAAACTATACGATAAAATATCAATACTAATGACTAGTGATAAACATTATTACCTATACATTCATTATTATGTGGTTGCATTCCTTCAGGACAAAAACAAGCTGGACCTTTTCCAGTTGGTTTACATCCGTGTGCACAATTTAAACCATGGCATGGAACCATATTTTCTGAAATTTGTTAGATAATAGATATTATTAAGACAACTTTATGACATAATTATTTTACCACAAAAACTTCCTTCATCGGTACTATTTTCACAATGAGTAGTACCATCACAAAAAGATTCAATATATTTACACTGGGTTGAATTACCACATCTTGCCATGTTTGGAGGACAACTACTAGGTTTTTGACCTAAATAAAAAATATTTATAATGTAGTAACTAACTTTTATATACATGGAGGGCCACCATAATGTATGGTTCTTCATAGGTTAGCAATCTCCTCCCATTCAAGAATCTAATTTAATCCCTTCCTTGGATATATTTAATCGGATCACATTCTACTCAAACATTTTTAATACCTTCCTGTTTATTTCCTCGTTAGTTTCATCCCATAAACTAGGTGGGTGGGTTTGTAGTTTAAATTTTTCAATAATTTCTTTATTATTATCAATGCAATAATATTAAATAAATTAAAGCACAAAAAAAATTGAAAAACATAGAAGGTATATTAATTATTAGTGATGGACAACTATATAATTTTGTGTATCGATATTGTTACGATTTTTACGATATTGTATCAAAAATATTTTTAAATTATTTGAAATATTAACCATTAAGTACTTATTAAATTTAATAATTAATATTAATAAATAAATATAAATATTGAGTTGATAATTAATATTTATTAATTCAAAAATTAGCTTTACATTGCTAATTGAAGATAAGAAAAAAAACTTGTTACAATAATTCCCGATATAGGACATAACATTGATATTGAAAATTTGTCACAATATTGGTATTGTGTCGAATCATCAATATTATTGCCCATCACTATTAATTATCATTAATATCATTAGGCACAGAAATTGATTAATGTATTTTTTATTTTTTTGAAATCTAAGACGATAATTTCTTACCTAAAAAGTGTATTAACATATTATTTTAATTAAATATTAAAACTTAATTTGACAAAATATTTGTACTTTTTAAAATAATAAATAAATATTAATAATAACTGAATTATATTTTAATGTTTTTTAGGTCTTAAACTTTCGAGCAATTATCATAAAAACATTACATTGCAATAAGTCCTCATCAGATGCATCTTGTTCTGTAGAATTTAAAGAAGCACCGCAATCAAGTTCACCATCACATATCCATTCTCGTGGTATACATTTTTTTGATAATGCACATTGGAACTGAGAATACTTGCATGTTGGAAAGCCTAAAAGATATAACAATATAAATCTATAAATTTAATCTTAATAAGTTGGAAAATATATTTTAATTATTTTACCACATGAATCAAATTCATCAGAACCATCGGCACAATCAGGGTTAAAGTCACATTTCCATTTTAAAGGTATACATTCTCCAGAACCACAAAAAAATTGATTTGAATTACAAGAGCTGATTGGTTTTCCTAAAAAACAATTAATATTCAATTTTAAATCAGTTAGGTATCATAATATATATACAAATATGTTTAGAATAAGCAAAACATAAATAGGAGAGAAATTATGCAAATTGGATGTAGACAGTATAAAGGGGTGTTAAAAAATGTTTATTAATAAAGTAGATTGTTTTTTTAAAATATCTGCTCATTAATCTTAAAGTTTAACCTCTTCACTAAAAATTAGATCCAGACTCCAGGTATACAATATAACACACAGATATATTTTCAATTTATATGCTTAGTCTTTATATTTATGTTTAGTCCGAATGATATTTTTTATTAACTAATATCATATAGGTATACCTACAATAATTTAAATATGTATATCCACATGAGCATACCTATAAAACAATTTCAAAATTCAATGTATTCATTAATATAATAATAATTTTATAATGTCTGAGGCTCTTAGAAATGATTTATATAATCAAGTTATACATATTCCAGTGATCAATTACAGAATTGTTATTTATTAAAATAAATAATAACACTATAGTAGGTACATGGTATGTATAATATGGTATTTCTGAATACAGCAAGACATTTTATTGATCAACGTTTTGTTATTTATGAAGTTTTTTTGTGTAAAAACTTTATCAACTAATTTCAATAAGCTTTAAGCATTTAATTACTATGGAATACAATTAAACAAATGTGTCACAACTGTAATAAATTATGATTGCATGTTTAAAAAAAAATATAAAAACAAATTTTATTATAAAATACAAACATATAATTTAAAGTAAAGTTAACTATTTAAAATTTGCATTGGAATACATTTCTTGCTTTGCTAGTAACTAGTTCCTATATACAATAGGTAGGTACATAAACTACAGAACATTTCTATATACATAAGAGATTGTACCTATTTACATTTTAAGAACTGGATATTGAAACAGATTTATTTATATATATATATATATAATAATTCTCCCAACTGCCAAGTATATCCTTATAAAGTAAAATTAATTGGATGCTTCCTGACACCACAAGTCAATTTAATTCAACATTAGTGAATAGTGGTTCATTGATCTACACAATAACAGTTTTATTACTTTTTATAACTTTTAGGTTTTATTATTTCGATAATTTCTTTTAAGCACCTATAAAACAATATCTATTATATCAATATACCTATATATTGTTTTTTATTCAATTTTTTTTTTGGAGATTCTATACCTAGGATAAAAACGAAAACCTATTATATTTACAAACTAAATAATAATAAATGTTTGAAGAGTAAGTAGTGTCGTGATCTCTTAAATTGAATTAATTAATTAATTATCAAGCTAACAGAAAGTGTTATCAATGGGTCGCTTCTTTCAACAAAACCTCATGACCTGTTAACTTTTATCACATCTTATTGTGTCTAGTACAATTGATACAGGTTGTTTATTACTTGTAAAAATAAAAAAATAATAAAAATAATAATAAGTAAATAATTTTCATTGTCACAAAAAAAATTGAATATATACTTATTATAACTATTTATATATTTTTGTTTGTTAATTATTCAGCATACAAATCAAAATTAATCTTATCAATAAATAAGGATAACCTTTAATTGTAAGCAAAAAATTATACATTCATTAAACATAATCGTATGACTAAGCATTTTTTTTCCAAATAATTTATTTACACTATTTACAGAATATTTATTAACATAAGAAATTTTTACCAATACAAATTCATTAATAATACAATACATAAAAAAAAATAATCGGGTAGTTGAAACTAAGGGCCTGAATAGTCTTCAACAATCAGCCAACAGAAAAAAAATTAAGATAATCTATACAGATATCTAGGTACAATCTATCACTTTTTATCTTCAATATTTTTATCACTCTTATGTTTATTTGTTTACATTTTCAAAAAAAACAACCTAGGTAGGTACATTAACATCAATTATTTTTTAGTGAATTTATGAAGATAGCAAAATCAATGTGCATGTACATCAATTCTATATACCTTATTATACTCAATTGTTAGGTATATGGAATTTATGAAAAGCAAAAAATACTAAATGCTCAATTAAGTACCATGAAAAGTAGAAAATTCTGCCAACACAGAATGCAAATCAATATACCGATTTAAAAAATCCAAAGGTCATAATCAACTCAACAATATTTACTCTTAAACCTTATCAAAATTCCTTGAATTAAGAACATACAAATATTAACAATGATATGCCCCTTGATATGCCACTAAACAAGGTATCAGTTTATTTAAAATATATATATATACCTACACCTATATAAAAGGAAATATTTTTAAATGTAAGCTTTAATTAACTTGGAAACATTTAAAGTTTTTTTAGGTAATTTAAAATGAGTTAAAAAAAGATTCTATTTTTTTCTCATCAGGTATTTCATATTATTATAATTTACTAGTATTTAAATGTACTTTTTTGCATAACACCATACGTTTACAATGTCATATTCAGAAGTAGAATATTTTTTCGAGAAATTTAAACTCGTAAGTATTTAAAGCATAGATGAATTATGTAGTGGAACAACATTTTGAGAGTACCCTTGTTCCACTCCATTCATCTAAACTTTAAATACCTAAGTTATAACTACTTGATAAAAATTTGATTTTTATACATTTAAATTCATAGGAAAATATAATGATTTGGAGTATGAAATTAGAAATGTAATTTTGTAATGACTTATAATTTTCCTAACACAATATCACCAAAAATCTTGAACTTTCTAAGAAATTTTAGAGTTTACCATTATTCTATCAGAAACAAAAGAATATTTAAATAATTAAAATTTTATTCCTTAAAAAATCAAAATACAATGTCTATAACTCTCAGAAAACTTAAAAGAAAGACAATCAAAATAAAAAAAACTAAAATCAACTGTAAATATTATAGTAATAAAAAGTTGTAAAACTGAGTTACTGGCTTATTTGTTGCGCACGTCGATGTAACTACATATAGTATACCGAAACGCGGGTGTATGTGATTTATTGTTAATTATTTTATATTATATATACGTGCTTCAATCTCATGAAGTGTTGCAAAAATGACAATATTTTAACAATATTCTTCTAGGAGACACTGTCAACGATTTTTATTCTCTTTTAAAATTACTAAAATATTATATGCATTGTGTTATATGCATTTATGAACAAATATTCAATAATCCTCTAAGTATGCAAAATATACAATATAAAATTTGGTATTTAAATTCAGTGTGATATGAACCGTGGACATTTTAAAACCCCCTAGATATACATACACTTAGTACAAATATGCAAATGTATATAATTCCGGGCTCTAGAAATTAGGCATGAATTCTCATTTCTTACATAGATATTCAACTAAAGATAATATTAATTCAATAAAAAAATGTAACTTGAAATTGATAAAATTTTATTTTTTGTATTCACCTAAATTATTTAACAAAATGTATACAATATTTGATATTCAGTACAGTTATGTCATACATTTTGCGTAGGATCTTTTAATCAAATTTGAAGGAATACATAAATGTTGTAGGTACGTAGTAAATAACTAATTTTTTTAAATTTTTTTATATGACCGAAAGTCATACGTACAATATTTAAAATTAAATTAATAATGATGTATTATGTAATGTAATAATAATTGTTTAACTGCCAATTGAAGTACAGGTAATGTAACTAAGATATTAGAAAATGTGTGTATGAAGTACGGATAATATTACTAGTATGATAGGTACTTGGATATTTGGCATCGTATGATAAATTGTGGCACCCATATAATAAAGAGTACACTTTTAATAAAGAATCATAGTCAGTAAAGATCATGATACATAACTATTAATGGTTATTCGGGTAAGTAAACAATCTTACCATCGATGGAATCGTCGAATGTACTTGTTGCCCATGGTTTGTTGAAGAAAATCAAAATCCCCAACAAACAAAACCGCTGTATCATTTTGAAATCGAAGTACTACAATATAGGAACTACAACTAGGTACTACGATTCTAACATGTTATTTATTTTTAATTTGAACTTTGCGTTTGCCAATACGAAAACTTCAGGTCAACGAACACCACTTTGCAATTTCGACAATTGGCAGGCGACGGCCAACAGAACAAATTATGGTAAATATTAATTATAGGTGGGACGAGTTTGTCTCAAGATTCGTGAGCGGACAAAAAAAAACCACGGACGAACAAACTGGGACCTGTCCTTTTGTTTATTGCGCCATTTTGAATGTTTACTGGCGGCCACCGACTGACGTTGGTTGTGATTTGAGAACACTGAACCGTCTGTCCGTCTGAACCACAAATTGTGATTTACCAATACATATCATAATATTTTAATCGGTTTGAGGTTTCCCACCAAACCATTTCACCGCCAGATGGGGTTGGCGTTGATAATCATAATATGTAAGCCGTTCCTAACTACATTCACGTACACAAAAATAATTTACTAACCTAATTTTTAAAAATCCATCGATAAAGCGAATTTGTATTGTACTTTGGTTTTTTAAAATGATCACTCAATCAGCGTTGCCAAGTGTACGATAATTATTGTATTTGTACGATGCATGATACTAAATCAAGTATCGTACAAAAAATACGATAATTTAAGGCGCTTATAAAAAAAATAGGGACGCAGCGGCTTATTTTATGCCGGATGTGAAACCACGAACTACCTACATTATTCTATTCTGTGCTACAACTATAATTACATAGTAGCATAGAACAATATGGGATTGGGGTACTTGATTATAATCGTGCTATAGAGTATAGACCTTGTATAGCACTTATCAATTCTGAGAAGGTAGGTAATCGCATTCCTGAATACTCAATTGCCTATTCGATCTTACAAGGGATTTTAATAAAAATATTTATTTTTCAGACATAATATTTCGCAGGATTCAAGATGGATGAATAATTATAAACATTATTATTATTATTGAGATTATATTATTAAATATTAATTAGAAAATATAACATAATGAAACATTTTAAAGTATTTTACTATTTCGAACTAGTATGAATATGATTCCATAAGAAATTATTATAATATAAAATATAAATACAAGTTTACAAATATCAACAATTATACACCAGTACATCACTGTTGGAGTTTTACAAGATCATTATGATTGCATGGGATATCCTACTTATAATGTCAATCCATGCATCAAAATAGTACTATAAAACCGCGGTTGGGTTAGGTAAATAATAAATATTGTAAGAATATGATATTCTAAAATTATATAACAAAAATAAAAAAATAATCCCAATACAATCATTAAGGCCCCTGCAAACCCTATTAATTTTTCATCAAAACGACCTTAGCGACTGACAACAGTTAAAGTACATCTAGTGGTTCGATTTAAAAAATGTAAAGAAGTTTTAATTGGTCAACAAGTCTACTTTGCGTCGATCGGAGCATATTTTTTATACTTTAGACATTTTTGAATATATTCTATATTTCAATACTAAAAATATACGTAAAAGTCCCAAGTTATCTATGGTCATCTATTAATTATTATATTACATTTACCTGACCAAAAATACCTATCATTATTATAATATTTTATTGATATATTTGATGCGTGACAAAAACATTGGTAGTAAGTAGTATAGGTATAGTTATTACTTTGCATGGGTCCTCGTAGGGGCATGTTCAGTGGAGCCCATTATTCTGTTGAAATAAATATAAAAAGGTGGGCAAGTGGGTGTCGCTCTGCTGTACAGTAGGTTACAAGTGGGTCACTACCTATATAATGGATGGTATTAAATTTGAATTCAATGATATAATATAACCATTGTATAAGAAAAACGATTCTGAGCGGTGACGGTATGTCAGTCTTTGTATAAGACATATTATATACATATCTATGGTATTAAACAAAAAATTGACCTATAATAGGTACCTATTCCAAATTAATCATATCACAATATCCATTAGATACTTATAACGCGTTATACATCAACAAAAACCGTGATACTATCATAGATATATAATAGTACACTTTAGAAGTTTCAAGTACCCACGAATAATATTATTCAATCACAACAAAATAACTAAAATAGTTATTCTAGGTTTTTTAATATGTAATTTCGTCCAAATTTGAATTTAAAATGTCTGTAAAAAATAAGTGTGTTCATATATTTTTTAGATTTTTTGGTTACAGTATGAACTATTTATGAGAACCTTTGTGTTGAATTTGTAATCCTTAGCTATAAAAACTGAACATTTTATAATTTATTAATTACAATGATTGATAATATTCGAGATTTTGATAAATTTTGTCAAAATTTGATCTTTAAATGCTTATAAAAAAAAACTGTGCCTATGTATTTTTAATATTTTTCAACTGCTATTGTAACAATATATCAGGAGCCTTGTATTAAATTTTTATACTTTTTTGCCCAACAGATAAAACTTTATTGATATTTATAGAAAAAAAAACTAAAAAAAATTGAAAGCTGTAAATGTCCATAAACAGCTCAAAAAGAGTCAAAATATTTTCAAAATTGTATGGTGTATAGAAAATGTTAATTTAAACATTCAGTGAAATTTTCATGTATCTACAGTTGTTCGTTTTTGAATTGCAACAAAATAAGGAAATCGCTACATGAGAAATCGAGTGAACATCCAATGTTGTAAAAATTTGAATTTTAAATAATAATTTGAATAAAAATAAAAATTTAATTTGACTGTCCGGTAGAGATTTTTTTATTGATAAAGGTAGATAATCTTATAAGGAATCTTGTGTTTCATTTTCAAATCTTAGATTTTACGAAATTTTAACCTAAATTTTTACGAATTCTTAACTCAAAATAATTTGCTAATTTTCGTGATTTTTCCATATTTTGTCAATTTTTGAACTTTAAATGCTTATAAAAAAAAATTGTGACTAAGGATTTTTAATATTTTTCATCTGCCTTTGAAACAACATATTAGGAGCCTTCTATTAAATTTTCAAGCTTTCGCAACCAACAAATAAAATTTTATTGATATTTTTAGAAAAAAAACTAAAAAAAATGGAAAATGAAAATGTCCCTAACCAGTTCAAAATAAATCAAAATATTTTGAAAATGTTATCGTGTATAGAAAATGCAAATATAAACAACCAGTGAAAATTTCATGTATACGTTCATTTGTTTTAGAGTTACACCAATAACCAAAATCGATTTTTTGGAAAACCAATTTTGCGTAAAAATTCCCGTTTTTCCTTAATTTTTATGTTGTTTTTCCCGGTGCTTGTGAAAACTACTGTGAAATTTATATATACTTTTGACCCCCCAAAGTACCAACTAGAATCACTTTCCTATCAGAAAAGCTACTGATGAAGAAAATCCAAGCACTTTTACTGTCCTAAAACGTGATGACAGACACAAAAATATAAAAAAAAAAAAAACACACATCATTGTAAAACCAATACATTCATCGCTCCGCTCAGAATCTAAAATACACTCTAATACGTAAAATAAGAAATAATATTTTATTTTTGTATAGAACATTTTATTGTGTACTCAACAAAATAAATATAATTTTACAATATATTTATTATAATTTAAGTACCTACATCAATCAAAAGTATTTTTTTTTTTATCTTATTATTTTTTTTATAATTTTATATAATTTTCTATATATAATCGGCTCAAGAGGCCTAATAGGGAAAAAAAAAATCACCAGACAAGACACAATAAGCAGGGAGGAATGGTACGTGGTGGCGACTGGCGAGGTGCTATTACATAAAGCAATAGGGCTATTGGTCACCTCTATACGTTTTTGCGGCACATCCCGCAGGCGGACGACCGACGAGTGCAGTCGCCAGTACGTTTGCTCGCGGGTGACGACCATCATGACGGCTGGCGAAGTCCTGACCGCGACGGCCAAGGAGCGATGAGACGATTTGACGGCGAGCGGCTAGTGCGTGATGTTGTGCGCATCGACGATGCACAGGTACTGAAGACAACTGATGCGTGGCGACGGCGACCAAAACCTAAAACACCGAGCGAGCAGAGACAGTCGTAGGTGCTATGGAATCGGCCGGCTACAGAAGACGTTATTTGACAGATTTCCACTGGGCGAAAACGGGAGAGGATCATCGGACCGCGCTGCAAAGGTCCTGATCCTCTCCGCGTGATTTTCGCCCTGATGACTCGTCCGCTTCACCGTCCGGTGGCCGTCCTGGAGTCGCACATCGCCGGACCCCGAAACGTAATCCGTTTCCACGAGTCTGGCGATGCTGACGTCCATGTTCCTAGCTCAGCCGCATCTCTCGCTCGTTATGTTTTGCAGTCTCCACCGCTGCCCTTGCGAGTCGCCTTCCTGCACTGTGCCATCGTCGTGGTACCGTCGGTGCGGTATCGTTGCCCTCGCAGGTACAGCTAGCCACCGCCGTAGTCGTCGTCCATCGGCTCCTTGTGTGCCCGAAGCAGCCGAGTCCTCGCCGAGTCGTCTTGATGGTCTCGCGTGTCGGAAACCTCGAGCTCGCGACGCTGGCAACTGCGATCTCGTCTTTCTGAGGATGGCCGGAAAACGTATAGGGTGACTTACCGCCGGGCACCGTAAAGTGCTCTTCCACGTACCACTCCCCAGTCGCCGCCGTCTTGTTTTGGTGTCTTCATCTGGGGGGAGGGGGTTACTACGCTGCTTCACGTCCTTCGGAAACAATCACAGAGCAGCAGGCGCTTCACGCCTTTCCACGTGGCGGCAAATAACTGCCTTGTCTTACCACTTGAATTTTTTCTCGGTACTGCAGTGATGGTTGTGTCCGGTGCGTTCTTTCCGTCCAGCATAGCCGTGTCCCTTTCTTTGACTCCCACAGATGGAATGGTGTCTGTCTTTTCATGTTGTACTTTCACTTTGTATCCGACCTGCTGTAGTCCGTGGCCCTGCTCGGCTGGTCCGAGCGTCTCTGAGGGTGCCGGTACTACTGCTGCAGACCTGCTGCCTACCTT